TTTCCCTTTCTCCAAACTTTAGGAAGTTGTCTGTAGACCATATTGTCTCAGCATATAAAAGAACAAATAGAAGGGCAATATTCCTGGACTATGATGGAACTGTTATTCCCGAAGCTTCCATTATTAAGGCCCCAAGCCCAGAAGTCCTCTCTCTTATGAATTCCCTGTGCAAGGATCCAAAGAACACTGTTTTCATTGTTAGTGGGAGAGGAAGGACCTCTCTAAGCGATTGGTTTGCCTCATGCGAGACGCTGGGAATTGCTGCTGAACATGGTTACTTCTTAAGGTATGTCACTAATATGTTATTTGTTGAATTTTGAGCAAGCCCTTTCCTGATTTTTAAACTGAACTAAGGTATTTTGGTCTGTTGGTATAGGTGGAATAGAAGTTCTGAGTGGGAAACCAGTCCCGTTGGTGCCGATCTGGATTGGAAAGAAATTGTGGAGCCTGTGATGAGATTGTATACAGAGGCAACGGATGGCTCCAACATAGAAACTAAAGAGAGTGCTTTGGTATGGCATCATCAAGATGCAGACCCTGACTTTGGATCCTGTCAAGCCAAGGAATTGTTGGATCATCTGGAAAATGTTCTTTCTAACGAACCAGCAGTTGTTAAGAGGGGCCAGCATATTGTTGAAGTTAAGCCACAGGTAAGACTGCCTCCACAGAGTCTCTTTCCCCACATGCACATATACACTTATGCAAACACAATACTGGTGTGAATTTTTACACTAATGCATTGTTACATGCAGGGAGTAAGTAAAGGATTGGTTGCTGAGAAGATTCTTTCAAGAATGGTCAATGATGGGAAGGCACCAGATTTTGTGATGTGTATTGGGGATGATAGATCCGATGAAGACATGTTTGAAAGCATATTAAGCACGGTCACCAGTCCATCGTTGCCTTCGCCTCCCGAAATATTTGCCTGCACAGTCGGAAGAAAGCCAAGCAAGGCCAAGTACTATCTTGATGATGCCAGTGATGTTGTGAAATTACTTCAAGGCCTTGCTACTGCTTCAAGCCCAAAGCCTAGGCATCTTCCACATATCCAGGTTTCTTTCGAAAGCATCTATTGATTTGAACTGTCACCGTTTGCGTGACCTTAAATCATCGTTTTGGCCAGATGGATTCTTTTTAACCTCTTAAGTGGTTCGGGATCATGAAGGACTTGACCATTCTTGTTTTGTACGTGGTGACATCGAATATGTATTTATCGGTGCACAGTAAGAGTGATTGGATATTTACAGATGGCGGTAATGGCTGTTTTTTACCGTTTGGGGGGCACCATTTAACTTGTATAGATACAATGTTTTTGTCACAAAAGATAAATCTCAGTTCGATCCATAATGATATAATACATCCTCAATGCTAATTGTTTACTTGATCATCTTCAGTTTCACATTATATTGTTCTGTGAGTGTCACCTGCCAAGTTTTTCCTTTGCAGTAAGTCAAGGCAATGCAATTCAATTCAATTTTGAAATGGCCAGGATGAGGATAATATTCTTGTCTTAAGAAATAGATAGGTTCTCTCAAATAGTGACAAGCTCTAAAGACAGGAACAGGACAACACAGCCTGTATCCTGAAGGTATCTACTATCTAAATCACTAAACCCAATCGTCACAATTAATGGTGTCTGTCAGGTCAGGTGGTCCAAGAAAACTGTTATGCATGGGGATATGGGAAGACAGTATGCTTCGAGAAGGGAAATACTTGTCCATTATGGACTTTTATATTCTTTATCAATAACAGAGTGATATGCGTATACAAGATAATCGGAGAAGGGAAATACTTGTCCCATTATGAACTTTATATTCTTTGTCAATAACAGTTTGATATGTCTATATTATGAGATAATCAGGAATTAAATTGGGGTAGGCTCAATTTCTTTTTCTGGGAGATCTATTATAATGGGGTTTCCCTAACCCATCAACCACCACAACTGCAATCATCGAACTACCACCAACATGGGTACATTGCCAATCAAACCCAGAGATGCATGTCTAGGTTTTGGCGAGAAAGAAAGAACAAAAATAATGATTTTCTCACTCCAATTTTATCCACTTACACTCTTTTTTTAGTTATAAAATGGAGTGTAAGAGCATCCACAGTTGGGGGGGGGGTGTATGTTAAATATACACCCCAAATCATTGGAATCATCTCCAATGGAGATATGTAAATAGATGTAAATATATATCACCACCATGGGGATGTAAAATAAAATGTATATTTACATATATTTTTACATCCCTTGCAGGCGGGACCCACCCAAGAAAAGAGAAGAAAAATAAAGAAAAGTCAACATAAAAGGCTGGGACCCACAACTACACCCCCGAATTTACACTCCTTCACTGGAGCAAAAAACATATTTACACCTCCCGGAGGTGTAAATGGGATGTAAAAGTGGCTTTACACCTCCGAATTTACACCCCCCATTGTGAATGCTCGAAGTGGATAAAATTGGAGTGGGGAAATCACCACTCAAAAAAAAATATGAAAGGAAGAAAGAAAGGAAAAAAAAACATTTAATGTTGTACAAGATTAAAACAGGAATTTCGACCCAAAAAATAAAAGAATAAAACAGGAAAGCAAAACATTTGAAGCTTTTCAAAGTTATATTGCACCTAGAGAAACACGTGTATGGCTCTACAGGGAGAGTTTGATTTCTCAGTAGCAAACCTCCTGGTCTGTTAATGGCTCTCAGCCTCCAAAGTCAATCAGACGGTTGGGGTTGGGAGTATATATATATATTTTTTTAGGTGGAGAAGGTGGGTTAACACCCCAAAAAAGCTAAACAGACTGAGAACAAGTGAAATGAGTTCTGAACACATCATCAGTCCACAAGGAAGCTATTCAAATAGGAGCAATATCATCAGTACAGAAGCTCATATCAGCTCCCATTAGCCAAGCAATCTGCAACGCAGTTTTTCTCACCGTAATTACTCCAGCTAGGGGATGAAAACGAATGGTATCGGTCATTTGTATGAGCTGCACCTAAACCTGTATTTTGATTTACTTAAATGTGGGATTTCCCTACATAGTGGGGTGGGCTAATATATGATTTAGCTAGAATGGGCTTGTACGACTAAACCTAAATCTGTATTTTGTAAAAACGACACTACACTGAGCCGACTCCAGCCCAAACGCGGAGCCTGTCTTTTTGTATTTTTGAAGAATTATTTTTGCACATATGTCAAACCATGATAAAGAAGGAGTATTCCAACGAAGAACTTACGTAAAAATGGATAGGACCAGCGTGGAGTCCAGTTGCACTATAATACAGAAATCACGCCCGCTATTTTGTGTGTGTCGTCGGATGGGTGACTTCGTCGGCTGTGGCATCCAATAATTTATCTTGTCTCACATAAGGTGTCACCTGATTAGAGAGATAGGACCTCGTTATAGACAAGTTTTCCTTCGCTCCATCCAACCGTCCAACCCAACCTTTAGTGGGCTGCTTGGTCGCCGACTATGCATCGGTTCTGTCCTATCACGTGTCATTTTGGTCAGCATGGCCTTGGTAGGTGTTTTATTTGGTCAACGGCCTGGGCAGCTAGGGGTTGCCATTTGCCAATCTGACAGGGTTGGGCCCAGCCTCACGGTTAGTGACTGGGCCAATACGATTTGAGTTTTGGCCTCATGGGTTGTGAATACACAACAAAAATATTTTAGAAAAATAAATAAAATAGAATGAAAAGAAATTGAAAAAAAAGGGCCACGTGATATTTGGGGGAAAATAAAAAAAAAATACATATTTAAAATTCATATAGTTAACACAGCTTTTTTTGCCTTGGTTTAAAAACAAACCGCTATGATTATTAGAATGATGGAATGATAAAAATGGGAACACGATGAGGATCAATTATATAAGTAAAGTTAAAGAAAATAAGTTGCTTCTAAATTTAGCAAGAAAGGAAAATTACACTTAAACATGAAGTATTGTGCTAAAAATTTGTTGTGAGGAGTTTCAAAAGTGATATGGAAATTTGAGTTAGAACTTTCATCTTTTCCTCATCTTAGTCAATCAAGGTTGTGTGCTTCCTTTTTTAATTTGGGTCATTTGTTCTAATATAAGAGTTTAAAATTTTACTATGTGATCTTATTTTTAAAGATGTATACAATATTCGGTAGATCTTTGACGTTGATGAATAATAATTTGAGATATTTTTCTTATTAGTGAATTTTCATCACACTTGATTCTCGTTTATGTTATTGGGGTTAGACGTTTGGTCGATCGATATCCGCATCAACAATCACATGTGAAACTCAATGCATAAAAAACACCTGTGGGTTAGTTACTGACAAGTGTTAATGACGCTCTTATTTTATGTTATGCACTAATGGTTCCTCTAATTGTACGTTTTACGTTTAGACGAGTAAGTGATATCATCCCGTCAATATGCTCTCACTAGTAAAGGTCAAATTGTTGAAACAAAATTGAGCTAAAATATTTTCAAATATAATTAGAACAATAAACAAAGGGTCATAATATCAAGTAACAACAAATAAATGATAATAGCATGTTGGAAATGGAAACTTGCATATTATAAAAGAAACAAGGAACATGGAGAGAATTTAGGTGGAGAATAAATGCGGCCATGGTTAGTTTTCTTGTTTTTTCTTTTTTCTTTTTAATTAAAAAAAACCCAGTAATTTCATGACACGATCCTCCCCACAGCATATGATTCTTTCTCGCTCTCTCACCGTTCACCCTTTAGTCCCCACTGACACTGAGGCGAGAGTGACCCTCTCTCTCCCTCTGCAGCTCTGCTTTTTTGTATTTCTTTTCCCTTTGCCTTTTTTCTCTCTTTTTTCATCTTTGTCGCTTGCATCTTTTCACACGCAGTTTCTTTCACATTACACTCAAATACACTGGTTTTGTTCGAAACACAGAACCAATACCCATTTGAAGAAGAGCATCTCCTAGCTCATATCACTCACATCACATTCTTGCAAAACCCAGATAGGATTTAGGGTTTCTTACAATGCTGGCAGCTTGAATGTTTCAGTTCTGTGCTGTTCCGGGCTTCATTGTGAGAAAAGGAGTAATGGGTCGGAATGTCTTGGTGTTTGGTCTTGCCATTTTGGTTCTTTTTGGAGGCGTCTCATCAGCTGCTCCTACTGCTCCAGCAAGTGAGTGAGTTTTTTGAATTTGTGTATACATGACTGAACTTAGCTGCTATATGATCTGCTTTTGGTTTTGGAACTTTGGTTTGTTTTCAATCCAAACTTTTTTTGTTTGTTGGTATTTTCAGAGATTGTCAGTGGGGTTTTTTCAAATGCTGCTTCTGCTTTCATGAAATGGCTGTGGCGGCTGTGGTCACTCAGAGCAACATCCAAAACAGGTCTAGATCTCTGATGCTATCCGCATTTTCTTTTTATACTCTCTTGTTTTTTGAGGGTTTATGGTCTTCTATTCTGAAACGGTGGGGATTTATGAAATTTATGCGTGCAGCGATTTCTGGCCGTCCGTTGATGAAGTATGAGAGTGGGTTTAATGTGGAGACAGTGTTTGATGGAAGCAAGCTCGGGATTGAGCCTTACTCTGTTGAGGTGTTGCCCAGTGGGGAGCTTCTGATTTTGGATTCTGCTAATAGTAACCTTTATAAGATCTCTTCCGCTCTGTCTCTCTGTAAGTGGCTTTTATGGAATGCATTGGGAAATTGCTTTGTTAGTTTGATTGAACTTGCGAGTAGAATTCTCCACTTTATGAAGTATGATTTGCAAAATCTGCTGTTTGGCCAAGTTAGTACCGGACTCGAGTTCTTACGAGTTTTATATGCTTTAGTGTCTCTTTGAGCCAGTTTGTCTTGATTGGCAAGCATTTGCATGTAGTTCAAAGGCGATATTTCTTTTATTATGTTTGGGTTTTGGGATATGGGATCCAAAAAATGATTCCAGGAGAAAGAAAAAATGCTGCTATTTTAAGGCTTCTTTATTCATGGCTGTCTTTCCAGGTGCAAATCTATTGGTAACTGTGCTTTGAATCCAAAAATTCCAACATCCAGCTTTTATATGATCTCGTCTTCCCTAAACTGGAAAGAGCCTTGATCTTTGTTGGATGCATGCTATATTGTGTCGATGTCTTCAGTCTACTCTGTACTACTAATTACACTACTAAATTTTAAAGAGATTTGAAGAGCTTCCCCACAAGAAAATAAACTCCTTTATCATTGTTATGGATACATTCAACTCTTTTGAGCTTGCATCTCTCATACTTTCACTCTATTTCATGGGAACACTGCAGACAGCAGACCAAAGCTGGTTACAGGATCCCCTGAAGGATACTCTGGACATGTAGATGGGAGGACCAGAGAGGCAAGATTGAACCACCCGAAGGGGCTTACAGTTGATGACAGTGGAAACATTTATATTGCAGACACAATGAATATGGCAATCAGGAAGATAAGTGATGCTGGTAATTGCTAATTTTAAATTTATTTAAGCATAAGTTTTTTTCATTCATGTTCAGCATATCATTATAAAGTGGATTTGTTTCCTTTTTCTTTGTTGTTTCATTTTGACCTCGTCTTCACTACAGTAGTTTGTTATTGTAGTACCCATCATCATCATCATCATTATGATAATTTTTTTCCTAATTGGTAGCTAGATGTTTAATTTTGATGTCATTCAAATTTCTACTGTCAGGGGTTACAACAATTGCTGGAGGGAAACAGGGAAGTGGGGGAAGCCATGTGGATGGACCAAGTGAGGATGCAAAGTTTTCTGATGACTTTGATGTGGTTTACATTGGAAGCAGCTGCTCCTTACTCGTCATAGACAGAGGAAATCAAGCAATCAGGGAGATCCAACTCCATTTTGATGACTGTGCTTATCAGTATGGAAGTGGTTTCCCCCTTGGTAACTTCATTTACCCAAATATTTCCTTTTGGATGGTGTGAATATTGAAAAAATACATAGGTACTTATTTTCATCATTGCAGGGATTGCAATGCTTGTGGGTGCTGGCTTCTTTGGTTACATGCTAGCATTGCTACAACGCAGAGTTGGTACAATTGTCTCTTCCCAAAATGTGAGTGCTGAGTTTTGCCTTCTATTCACTTTGTTGACATGTACACTTTGTGGGGTAGATGTTGGTTCTGCAGGTCATTTGTGCCCATCTTTCTTGTAGGAACTATTTGAAGTTACTCTCACATTTTGTTGGTTTGTAAATAGGAAAAGTGGATCCCAGAAAAGATGCAGAATTCCACCTTTATTATTTGTAGTGAAATATTGTTGATACTTGAAAGAAAATTCTTCATGAAAAGAGGATTTTATTTTTCTGGGAATCACTTCCTCAAAGTAGGACTTATTTTACACTTGCCTTGATTAGGTATTATGCACTACCTTTCTGCCATAACAACTTCAGTATGACAATAGTTTGATAAAAGTTCAATGTAATGCTTTTCCTTGAGAATCATAGATCATGACATATAGCTTCTTCTACGACAGCATAGAACATTCTTTTACCTTTTATATTGCATTTTTGAAGGACCAAGGCCCAATGAAGACGAGCATTCCTCCAAGTCCATACCAGAAGCCTCTGAAATCAGTCAGGCCACCTTTGATTCCAACTGAAGATGAGCAGGAGAAGCAAGAAGAAGGCTTCTTTGGATCGATTGGGAAGCTTTTGGTCAATGCTGGGGCATGTGGTGCTGAAATTCTGGGAGCAATATTTCCTGGTTTCAGAAAAAAGCATCTAAACTATCAAGACCAAATTCAGCAGCAGCAGCAGAAGCATTCAAATTCTTGGCCTGTGCAAGATAGTTATGTGATACCAGATGAGGATGAGCCCCCTTCTATTGAAACCCGAACCCCCACCCCACGCAAAACCTACGCATTCATGGCCAAGGATGATGAAACGATGCATCAGTTGCGGCAAAGCCGAGTTTTCTACAATGGGTGGGATGATATTCAGCAGCAGCAACAGGTGCAAAAACAACAACAGCATTATCATCGTTACCAATCATCAAACCCCAATACTTTCTATGAGCAGAGTTGTGAAAAAACCACTGAGATTGTGTTTGGTGAAGTTCAGGAGCAGGATGGGAAGGGTGAAGCTGTGGTCATAAAGCCTATTGATTATGGAAATCCCATGTTTAATCATTACAGTTTTACCTCCCAAATCAATCCTGGGGGTTATACCTATGGCTATTGATCATATATACGTAAGAGAGGCATATAGACATAGTTTTGATCTTATTTGATCTTTCATATAAATCTTTCAAATTTTAGGTTAGAGGGGGTATCAAATCATTCTCTGAGTTCCGTGTGGAGAATTTCAGTCCTGGAGGTATCTTATTCTGGTCAACATATTGAAGGCCTTTGTTCAAGAACATTGCCCCTCTGATATAATTTCTTTCATAATTCAAGGAAGGTGGTCTTCTCTGATGCTTTATTAGATATATTGTTATATCGCTTTCCCTGTTTCCTTGCAATCAAATTGCAAAAAGTGATATGGCGAATACCCTTAAGAATCAGCCTCAAGAGTTCGAGTCATCAGATGAAATGTTTTTCACGTTTTAACTGGATGTGTTGTTTGAATCACAAACACCGGTGCCTTTTTTTTCCAATCCATTCATCATATAGTAAATCGGTTGGCTTTGGAAATTACCGATGCTTCTTTACATTTTCCATTTGTCACATTGATTAAAAGAAGAGATAACGACTCTATTCTTGTTTCACAAACCCAGTTTCCCAATCACTTGATGTTTCGATAAAATCTAATAATTGAAATCAAATGGAGATTCTCAGGAGAGAAGAAGAAAATGACCCAAATTGTAGCACAAAATGTAAGCACACAATCACGAACATGCCATTACCCAGATATTAGGTACTACTGATGAAAAGATTCAAAATACTCACAAGCCTCACAATTGGAGATAAGTTAAGCTATATACATACAATAGAGTTGTCTTTCTTCAACCTTTTCATTTCATCTCCTTTTAACTAAACCATAATAACTTCCCAATGCCGGCAGAGTTGTTTCTTTAGCTCCCTCCACAAATCCCATAATATTACTGTCTATCATACCTTCTATTCTTCCATGAGAACTAGATAGCACATCACTCCTCCCATCATTACCATCTTCTTGCTTCCTGCTACACAACTCCATGCTTCCATCAACACCTACCAAATCCTTCAACTGATCCACATACTTGGACGACTCTGTTATCTCTGTTACCTTGAAACTACTATTGCTATGAAAATCACAATCAATCAAAGACACACATTCCTTAGGCGAAACTCGGGACCCTACATGGTTGGTTCTAAACATAAGAGAAAGATGAGAGATGCACAACAAAAACAACCGCCTCAGCAGCGACACAGACCGGGTGGAGCTAGCAGTTGCGCTTTTGATGGCGAAGCAAAGAGTCTGTACTTGCTTCCCCAGATTGATTTGGCAGCGCCTCCATGTCCCGCTGAATCCGAGCCTGTTGCGGCCCTCCTGTCTACCAAGTCCAGTTAGACACATTGTGTTAAAGTTATGATCTTGACATTCAAATCAGCACATTATAACAGAAGATGCAATTATGCAACAAAACACTTACATTGCGGATAATATAAGGCCGAATCACAATTCCGACAAGCAGCCCGAAAAGACATGACAATCCGAGACCCAAAAGCCAAATCGAAGCTGCTCCAAGTGCTGTAAATTGCATAATAACAACATTATCATTAAAATCAAAATTAAATTAAATATCAGAACCAAAATCCCCAAATGAATTACTGTAATTACACAAAAGCGCACCCGACGGAGAAGACCTAGCACAGTCCTCCGGCTTGAGATTAATCAACCGCACCAGCTGATTCCCCCAGTCCGAGACCAGAAGCGCGCACTTATCGGCAACGAAAGCCAGCTCCAATTCGGTCGAAAATGTTGCGTTTTGAGAAGGGCCGTCCTCCCGTCCAGGCTTCAGTGAGTGAGTGTACCCTCCAGCAATTGTACTCACACTACCTATTGATTGAGTTGGGTGAGTACTTACGAATTATGCCACGCTCGCAAAAACCTAGAAGAAGGAGTTACCTGAAGCGCTTATTTTCCGAATGACGTTGTTGCCTTTATCGGCAACGAAGACATTTCCTTTCGTGTCCACAGCGAAGCTCCGGGGCTTCTTGAACCGGGCCGAACCCGGTTCGCCGTCCGAATAACCCTCGACGCCGTCACCGGTGAATAGTTTAATCACACTCTCTGAAACATCACCTAAACTGTTTTAGCATCTACGAAAACTGACGGCGGTTCAGAAATCGGAAGTGGCTAGTTACTAGTTAAATTACCTTGGGATCCTGGTATGGGGAACGGTACTGTGTATACGGCACTGCGGGAAGAGTCGAGGACGAGGAGATCGGACGATCCAGGACGAGGGAGCACCGAGTGCGGGTTGATGCCGAGTTTGTGGCCGTCGATCACTGTCGTGACGGTGTACCCGTCTTCCAGCACCACGTCGGCGAAGACTGAAATGGAAATACATGGAAACTGAGGGAGTGAAACGCAAATAAAATATTGATGCAAATTCAGACCTTTTTTTTAAATAAATAAAATTACAGTTTACCTTGAAGTGAAGCTAGGTTGAGGAGGAAGAAGAAGAAGAGAGCAACAGCGAAGGAGTGTGAAGCCATCGTCGCACGCCAACAGTGGAAGCCAAAAAATCTCTACTTTTGCAGGTGAAATAAGAGAGCAGCTACTCATATGGACCGTCGGAGGGTTATGTTGTGGATTCGCGCCACGTCACCCCGGGTCCCACAACAATTCGCGCCAATCAAATCGAACTAGAGAGACCCAAGGGCCAAGCCAAGGGTGACCCATCCAACTCACAACAGCGGGTAACGCAATTAATACTCGCAGAGAATTTATGTGTCCGAGTTTATTTATTTATATTTATATTTTCCACATTTTAGAGTTAGACTATTTTTTATTTTAATTTCCGTTTACAAAGACAAAAAAAGGGAGCATTCATCGTAAGTGGAAGGAATAGAATAGACCCTGAAACAAAAAAGAAAAACTCAACAAAATATATACTCTCTCTCTCAGATCCAAATCTCTCTTTCTCTCTCTGAGCCTCTTCCTCAGATCTCTCTGGTGACATATTCGGATCTCCGATTTGCAATTCGGAATATCCACCTTGCCGCCCGAATCGGTGGGTATTTGATCGCCTGCCGCTGCTGCTAGGCTTTGCTCTCCCATTTTCGGATCGGATTGAGCTTTCCCGGAGCTTCACCACGGACCCAATCATGAATCCCTTCTCTTCCGGAACGCGCCTGAGGTAATAATTCACAAAACCCTCACTCATTTTCATCTTTTCGGATCAGTCTCTGAAATTCAAATTTGGATGAATTGAATTCTATCAAATTTGGTTCATTTTTCATTGCTTTATACATTTACGTAGAAGCGGCAATGAAGCAACTTAGGGGTCGCATTGGGATGCTGGAGTTCGAACTTATTTCAGCTTCCACCTTATCTCATTTTGCAAATTAGTGAATGCTAGCCCTTATTTATCCTAGTTTCAGTCTAGTTCATTTATAGAAAGCATGAAAGAAATGGAAATGAAACATAAGTTTAATGGAACACGGCAGGGCAGCTGAAGTAAATGGGGTATGGGTCCATGATGGTGTAATGTAATGTTGAGGGATTTGATTTACGCTGCATCAAACCGCTCATAAATTTTAGAAACTTGGATTGGCTGTGGTTTATTTACTTTGATTGTGATCAGATATTGAAATCCTGTAGAAGGAATTGTTTTAGTATCTCACAACCTACATGGCTCCCAAATCATAAGATTTTTTCTCACTTTTCAGTCTATTTCCCATGATTTTGTTCAAGGCACTTCATATGGTTTGAAAATGATGTACCCAAATCAAAAATGAGTTATCGCATTGTTAGTATGTTTTGTTTCGCAGATGATGGTTGACAGACGTAAATTGTAGACTTGATCAGTATGTTATGTAATGAGTACTTACTGTTTCAATGCAGGGACATGATTCGGGCTATACGTGCTTGCAAAACTGCAGCAGAGGAACGTGCTGTTGTAAGAAAAGAGTGTGCTGCTATTCGTGCTGCCATAAATGAAAATGATCAAGATTACAGGCATCGTAACCTGGCTAAGCTCATGTTCATCCACATGCTGGGTTATCCCACCCATTTTGGTCAAATGGAGTGCCTGAAGTTGATTGCATCTTCTGGTTTTCCTGAGAAGAGAATAGGGTATCTTGGCCTCATGCTGCTTCTTGATGAAAGACAAGAAGTTCTAATGTTGGTCACAAACTCGTTGAAACAGTATCCAATTCTTTGATGATTTTTCATTAGAATAAGCATTGCTCTCTCTCTCTCTCTCTCTCTCTCTCTCTCTCTCTTTCTCGTGTCCTGACCTGTCTTTAAATAAACAATTGTGTCAAAGATACGGTACTTTCACTTGCAGACATGGTTGTTTACATCTATGTGTCCTTGTAGAAACCTTAACTAATGTACAGAGATCTCAATCACTCAAATCAGTATATTGTGGGACTTGCTCTTTGTGCTTTGGGAAATATTTGTTCAGCAGAAATGGCTCGTGATCTTGCACCCGAAGTGGAAAGATTGCTGCAATTTCGAGATCCAAATATTCGGAAAAAGGTGAGTTTTACTAATATTTTTGTCATGGACCTACGACTCAATATTTTGTTGCTTAAGGAACATCATATATTAATCTCACGAGATTCTGTCAATTTATTTAATTACTATGTGCAAGAACTCTATTATACATTTCCATTGTGGAAGCTCATTCCTTGAACGACACCAAGATCCTTGGCCTTTTATAGTTCGTGTGGCTGATTCACTTGCATATTCTTCTGTTCACATAGCAAACAAAGAATAGCAATGAAATCTGTGCAACCCTTGCATTTCTGGTTGAAGTTACTCTAGGCAGCCTCCTTTCCAGTTGAATGAGAAAACTCTTTTAAGCATCAATGTCCTATAAAATCTTTACACCTACAGTAATAGGATTTCAACTACGTATTTTGTTAATGTGTTATATTAGTTCTTATAGTCTACAGACACTTGAATTATCTGGTCATTGTGTTTCTGCTGCAGACCAATTTTCTGTCTGCAGTGGTCTTCTTTGGAAATTTTTTTTATCCTACTTGTTGCACATAAAATTCTATTGTTAGACGGTATACTAAAATAGTTATGTGCAAAATTTTGATTTATTGTGCAGTAAAAGGTTTTTTCTTAATTAGTCAATTTTAGATTGGTTCTATGTATCATCTTTTTCTTGTGATTTTCTTTTCTTTGTTAAAAAACAAAACAAAATTTAAAGTTTTGCAATATGAGGTTTGGAGTGTGTTGGGGGCGAATTACACTCTGACTTTTCTCCCAAATTGTGTTTGATAATTTGGCGTATGTCTTTCATTTGGATACTTAATTTCTCATTGATCAATTTCCTTATTGTAAGTTGATTGCACTCACTGTTGAATGTAGGCAGCGTTGTGCTCTATAAGGATTATAAAGAAAGTCCCTGAGCTGGCGGAAAATTTTATTAATCCTGCCGCTGCCTTACTTAAAGAAAAGCATCATGGTGTTTTAATAACAGGAGTTCAACTTTGTACAGATCTTTGTAAAGTCAGTGAAGATGCCCTTGAATATTTTAGAAAGGTAACTTGACTCTGGCCTATTATATATCTTGTCTATAGTCTGGAAAAGATACAACAATTCTGTTCTTGAAATGGAGTTTTAAGACATTTTTGAAAAAGTTAACTGAAATATTATGCTACCTTTGATTGCAGTTTTATGATGTAACATCCCGTCTTAATTGTTAATGCAGAAGTGCACAGAGGGTTTGGTCAAAACTCTAAAGGATGTAGTAAACAGTCCATATGCCCCCGAGTATGACATTGCTGGGATCACAGATCCTTTCCTTCATATTAGGTTGCTTAAGCTTTTGCGTGAGTTGGGCCAAGGAGATGCAGATGCTAGTGAATGCATGAATGACATACTTGCTCAGGTAAGTTGCTGTAGAGTTTATATCATGCCATCTATGCCATTGACAGCATAATTATTTAATCTTTTGTGATTGCTGCTTTAAAATATTTCAACTTCACCCTCACCAATCACTCATATACTCAAAAGTCACGATTGCTTTCAAAGCACCACTTTCTCAATATATTTAATATTGCATTCTAGCTGTGAGAACTGTGAAAATACTATCATATACATTTAGTCCATGCTTCTCCAAAATCTTTTTCCATAAAATAAGCTGATGCGACTATGATGTACCATTTTTGTTTTTATTTTTATTTTTAACTATAATTAAATTACTTCTGAGACTATTAACTTCATCACCTTTGTGTGTCGTTTGTGGCAAGTAATGAAAGTGGTGTCACCTATTCCAATGGTTGTGGAGGCAAGTGCATCAAAAAGAGATGGGGGAAAAAGTAGATCGTTAATCTTCTAAGTTACCTCTCTTAAGGCCCCTTGTTTCAGATAGTCTAATTGGCTCTGAGTTTAAGATGATGGCTCTTCTTTACATTGTTAATATTCATTTAAATTTAGTTTTGAAGTACCTTTTGTTGTTTCTATGCACTTTGTATGCGGTTATTTCTGCTTATTATTCTTTAAGCCTGTGGTTCAGGGGGAATTGCTTCATAATTTGAAAAGTTACTCCCTCATTTTTTATCTTCTTCTAAAATTGACTACTATTTCTTTTCCTAGGTGGCAACAAAAACCGAGTCAAACAAAAATGCAGGGAATGCGATTCTGTATGAATGTGTAGAAACCATCATGAGCATTGAAGATAATGGTGGCTTACGTGTGCTTGCCATAAATATTTTGGGAAGATTCTTATCGAATCGTGACAACAACATTAGGTTTGTTTATGATACTTTAACTTGGGCAAGGCTTTACTGTTTTCTAAGAAGGAAAATTAGGATCATAGTGCTATAAGTTTGATTGGAATACCTCTTTTATATTCTGGGATTAAGTTGAAATGCTTTGCAATTTATGATAATGTCTTTCTTAAGAGGTCATGTTGATGTATCTTATTTTTTTCAACTGGTTGCTATGTTTTATGTAAATCTCTCTTTTCTAATAAAGCGCTGCTGTTGACTCAATCAGGTCATAGGGCTTGGCCTTCGTAAAATGCGAGCTAGTATATATGTGTGTGTGTGTGTGTGTGTGTGTGTGTGTGTGAGAGAGAGAGAGAGAGAGAGAGAGAGGCCTTGAAATGCCCCAACAATGGTAACTGCGTACAACTTGCCTAAGTGTAAACAGACTACAGGCATGCACCAGTACGCTATCTTTTTTTCATATTGCAGTAAACATAGGAGGATATTTACATGAGTAGTGTGAGTCTAGGTATGCTTCTCATTAGTTTGCGATCGTATCAGTGTTGTATTTTCCAACTTGCTTAGAGACTAATCTCTTGTGCATTGGGATTCTCAACTTGATTTATCCAATTAACCCAAAATCCTTATTGTTGGTGGTGAAAGTAAACCAGTGGCATGCAGCCCAGAAGTCTGTTTCTTTAGGGTTTTTTTTTATAAAGTTTTAAACTTTAAATATTTGATGAATCGATATTCAAGCTTTGTCATCATTTGGCCTTGTTATGTTCTTACTGAGCTCTTTGCAACTTTTTGTTATTTCATAATAATGTATCAGTTTTTAATTCCTTCCAGATATGTTGCATTAAACATGCTGATGAAGGCAATTACAGTTGATGCTCAAGCGGTGCAGAGGCATCGGGCAACTATCTTGGAATGCGTAAAGGTATAGTGTTTGCTCATGTTTAATTTGATTATGAAGAAGAAAAGGCTGCTGTTTTGTTCTTGCTTGTTGAGAATTGAAGATCTCCTTTTCCAATGAACTTTTTCTTTGAAGCCTTATTATTCGACTTTGTGTTATGATTAGTGCAAGAATTGAGTGTACTAGCGTACAACTTGAGAAGCCTGTGACTTGACTTTCTCCTTTCAGGATTCAGATGCTTCAATTCGAAAAAGGGCCCTTGAACTTGTTTATGTTCTTGTGAATGAGGGCAATGTGAAACCTCTAACAAAAGAACTAATTGACTATTTGGAAGTAAGTGACGAAGAATTCAAGGGAGATCTTACTGCAAAAATTTGCTCCATTGTTGCAAAGTAAGTTATGCAGTTCTTGAACTTAGATCGGATTTTTTTTTCTTCAAGGAACTCAGATTGTGTTTTTCTCATATGTTCTATTTAGTAATTGATATGAGTGTTGATGCTGCATGGATAACTTGTCTACCTATGAGAGATTTGCTGTGGACTAAGCTCCTTTAGCTATTTTCATCATAATTATTCCTGTAGTTAAGGGGCCACAGCAATTGGTTCTTCCGAAGATGCCAGTTCTGCACGTGGGGATAGGATCTATAATATGTTTGCTTTACCATTGTAGACTCTTATTTTTTGTTTTCAGTCTTCTTATTGCCATGTATATTTACTTGTTCTCTGATATTTGGGACAGGACCTTTATTTTATTTTATTGGCGCAGGGTAGGGTTGTGTTGCTGGTCAATATTGTAGCATTATTTGACAATGAAAATTTTCTAGTTTTGATTATTAATTTGTTTGCCAACTGTTTTTTGATGAACATTCACTCTCTGGTGCTTTAGGTTTTCCCCCGAGAAGATTTGGTACATTGATCAGATGCTCAAGGTTCTCTCTGAGGTATAAATCTAAATGAAGTGTTGTTGGTCTTAATTAAGTTGTATCTCTGCCAACTAGGTCTTGGTCCTTTGGTATTTTTCTTCCCAATGTTGGGAGAATTCCCAAGTTTGAATACCCCCTCCCCCGTGAATAAAAATAAAGTTGTATCTGTGATGAATTTCAGTCTCACAATATTTTTTTTGGCATGTTATACCTATCTCACTTGGTGAAATTTCATGTACTCTGGATATATCTACTTATATTTCAAAATCCTGGACCTGCCATTTTGTGGCACATTTCAGCTATCTTTCAGCCTAATGAATGGTTCAATTTGTTTCCAAAAAGTACTGATCTTTATGCTGTGCTTAGTAGGCTGGAAATTTTGTAAAAGATGAAGTGTGGCATGCGGTTATCGTTGTGATAAGCAATGCTTCTGATCTTCATGGATATACAGTTAGGGCGTTGTACCGAGCATTACAATCATCAGCTGAGCAGGTGTTTAGTGTTTTCCTGTGATAATTAATTTTCAATTCAAAATCCCTACAATCTTGAGTATCCAAGTTGCATGTGGTTAGTGTTTTAAAAGTATAATTTTTATCCAGGAAAGTCTCGTTCGGGTAGCAATTTGGTGCATTGGGGAATATGGTGACCTGTTGGTAAACAACGTTGGCATGCTCGATGTAGAGGATCCAATAACAGTGAGTGCGCCCTTTACATATTTTCATTCATCCAACCTTTCTGCAGTCATCTTTCCATTTATGAAATTCCTGTGGGCTGTTGTTATTGCTATTGAATATGAAAAACACAAAAATCTGTAGATGCTTGATATATGAGCTTTCTGTGGCTGTCTATCATTTATTTAAAACTATATGTGGTCATCCTTCGCATTATTATAATGTCTTAAAAATCTGTGCATGTTGCCTAATATTGTAATGAGTTGGGATAGCGGTTCAATTGCTGAGGCTATAACAAAATGAAGACCTTTTTTGCGAAATCATTTCTTATCTTTCTGAGACTAGTACATTAAAATATGTAAGGTAAATAAGCCATCTTCTGATTTGAAGTGATGGCATAAGGAAACACTTTGTATTTCATTAAAGATCTCTCTCTTTTTCGGTTTGTAGCAAAAGTTGGTATTTCAGACTGATTATCCTTTTATGTTTTCTTGGAAAGTTTCCTGATACAATGAGTTTCCTTTAACAGGTAACAGAGTCTGATGCTGTGGATGTTATAGAGATTGCAATTAAGCACCATACGTCGGATCTCACAACCAAAGCAATGGCTATGGTTGCTCTGTTAAAGCTATCTTCACGTTTCCCATCTTGTTCAGAGTACGTTATGTTTTTTACCTGTTCAGTTGTTTATCACATTTTTTTCCAAATGATGCCAACTTTTGTTAAATGCATTAATCTTGCTATCCTCTTATCTATTGTTATGACACTAAGCATGATTATTCTTTGAATGACGTGTAGGAGGATCAAGGATATAGTTGTTCAATACAAAGGAAGCCTTGTTCTTGAATTGCAGCAAAGATCCATTGAAATGAACTCTATCATTGCGAAGCATCAGAACATTAGGTATGTGGGTTTGAGAAGTTAAAATTAATTTTGAAAGGAGTAGCCCCTGTTCTATTCATTCTTCCTTTTCTCCCCTCGCACCAAGAAGATTTTCATATATTTGAAAACTGATAGATGAATTTGTGCAGATCTACACTGGTTGAAAGGATGCCAGTTTTGGATGAGGCAACTTTCATTGGAAAGAGGGCTGGTTCTATACAAGCTACTGTTTCTCCTTCTTCTGGTGCTTCAATCAATCTACCGAATGGAGTTGCCAAACCTACTGCAGCTCCTCTTGTGGATTTACTTGATCTAGGCTCAGATGATGTGCCAGCACCTAGCTCCTCCGGTGGTGATTTGCTTCATGATCTTCTTGGTGTTGATTTGTCAACGGCTTCTGCACAATCAGGTTAGTTTTGGGAAATGTTATGCCATATATTACTTCTAGCGAAAAATGTGAATGGACCGGAATTACTTAATTAAACCACTATCCTGATTCATCTTCATTTATAGTGGAGCATCTTATTTTATGTTTGGCGAAATGCTAGTGATATGCAGAATATATAGAGGGTCGGCTACCAATTAATTTGGTGTCGGAGTATATGTAAACCCATTTACACCTACAGTTTTGTTGTCATGGGCGGTCAGGTGTTCCCAACTATGTCTAATTTGATTATGACGATATCCATAACTAGTTATTTTTCTCCTTTTTTCTTTTTGGGAATTGAGTGCATTGAAATGATAAGGCTTGATTCTGTAAGAGAAAATTCTGTGGAATGAACTTATAAGCGGTAATGCCCTGGCAACCCATAGTTGAATTTCTTAGTTCTGTATTACAACTGTTTCTTGGTGTGGTGACATCAGGATATTTTTATGTAGATATGAATTGTTTTGGTGTTACTTATTAGATAAACCTATAGACGAAAAAAGAGAAGAAAGTATTTGCATTATTTCTATTGTATCAACCGACATATAATGTTTGTGATATTCCCTTAGGTGTAAATCATGCTCCAAAAAATGGCACCGATGTTCTACTGGATCTCTTGTCTATTGGTTCACCTACCCAAAGCAGCCAATCTGTCTCTGATATGTTATCCTCCAGTCAAGATAACAAAACACCTGTTTCACCATTAGAGGGATTATCATCCCCATCTTCGAATTCCATACAACCCACTTCTTCTGCAGGAGCTGCTCCAGCAATTGATTTGTTGGACGGCTTTTCCTCCAGCCCACCAAAACAGGGTATAATACTAGCAACCCTGAGAGTTTTGTTTAGCAGATATGATTAGGTTAATTTTCTGATAGCCTTTTTTTCTAGAAACAGAAAACAATGGCACAGCTTATCCATCTGTAGTGGCATTTGAGAGCAGCAACTTGAAGATGGTGTTCAACTTCTCCAAGCTGCCTGGAAATCCACAAACGACAGTGATCGAGGCTACATTCACTAATTTGTCAACGAATATCTATTCAGATTTTATTTTTCAGGCAGCTGTTCCAAAGGTAATTTTGGTTACTTAAATCCACATTTTGCTCATAAAATATTGGTGACCATTAAAGTTTGCCAGTTTTTCAGTTGAAATCTTAGATGTTCTCATGCTCTAAGTTTATTTGTTCTTAACTTAAACTTTGCGGTTCTTATTTTTCTCTGTGCTTCCAATTTACAGTTTCTTCAACTGCACTTAGATCCAGCTAGCGGCAATGCTCTGCCTGCAAGTGGTAATGGGTCCATCACACAAACATTGAGAGTTACCAACAGCCAACATGGAAAGGTATCTGAAATCTCTACATATGTGTCGTCCTTTAGTTTCTGAATTTGATTGCTGCCTGGCATGAGAATGCAATTCGAATTACCTAAACTCTTTTTAATCATTATGGCCTTTTGAGAGTTACCAACTACCAGCTAAATCTTTTCTGGTTTAGTTATGGCCTTAAAGACCTTATTCTAATGAGCACTTAGGTTGAAGACTTGCATCTCAACTGTCTAAAACATATATACTGCTACGCACAAAGGGAAATGGTTGAGATGCAAGTTAGCAAGTTAAATCCTCTGCTCAGCAGCTCAGTTCCCATTGGATTGCCTCCGTATATTAATGACACATATATATTCAAGGTTTTTAATTGTTTATTTATGTCTGAATATCCTTTTATATTCTTGTAAACCTTAACACGACAAAAATTCAGCCCAATGATATGGGGTTGGGAACACAGATCCTTTTAAGTGGTCAGAGAGCTGATGGTTTATTTATTTTAGCCAAACCATATCTTTTGCTTTGTCCTTTTCTTTTCCCCTTAATTATTTGGTGGATGTAGTTGATAGTTACAAACTTCACATCTTTTCAGAAATCTCTTGTCATGCGTATAAGAATAGCTTACAAGATGAACAACAAAGATGTCTTGGAGGAAGGACAAATCAGCAATTTTCCTCGTGGTTTATGAGGCTGAGTAGTTTTCATAGATGGTAAAAATGGTGATGCACAAGTATACGTTTTCCTTCTCGCTGCCCACGATGTCAGTGGAGTCTTTTCCTTAGAAAATTGCTCAATTTGGGGTGGCATGTCCTGTGGCAATTGGGACTGATTTTGTTTGAAGTATGTGGTTTATCCAATGGCTTGATACCTCCCCTGTCCCACATTTTTCTTCCCCTTGTACCTGGTTTATGTACATTATTAAAGTTCTTCATGTACGAAATTGTGGGAATTAAATTTTGCTTATGATGCACAAGAGGAGGGAGCTAGTTGCATGTTGAGATCTTGAGGTCATAGTTGTTTGCTTTTTAGTTTGGATTTGCTCGCTAGCCTTATTGTTTGAGATCATAGTTGTTGGGAATCTAATTGAATTGCAAATCAGTTATATATTCGATTTAATGTAACAATTTTCGCCAATGTCATTATTGAAGGCTTATTTTGTTTGTTGTTTACATTTCCATGTACTCCATCTGTTAATTTAATCTTATTGTATCTTTTTTTTTCAAATTTCTTCTTCACTTCTCACCTTCCTTCCCTCGTCCGTTTTTTCGTTTAATTATAAAAAATAAAAACATGCAACCAGTTGTCCAATTGTTTAGTTGTTGGCCAAGAAAATATGCAATTTTTTTTAAGTTGAGTTAATCCTATATTCTATATGTAATGTGAAAGTACATTTCTGATTTTACTTTGATTGTCATTATGTATTTTTCATCTGTATATTTCACCCTTTTAAATATTTTGATTCCCATCATGCTTCTGGGTAACTTTCTTCGACTTATGACACAACAAAAGAAAAAAAAGAAAAAGGAAGAGATTATTGATTGATCACCTTTCATTGTTGAATCTGACCTTCATCGAAATAATAGCTTACTGGGTCAATGATATTTGGTAAGGAGTTGGCACGATTCATGCTAGATTTTTATATTTGATTATTTTTATGTACACCCAACACATGCAAATGCAACGCAAACGGCCTTGGATTCTCCCCAAATGGCCATAAATATCAAACACCAGTTGTCTACAAAAGACGGTATTATCTGTTATTGTGTTTGACTTTGGGTGAGCCTAAAGCTTTGTATCTTGTGGAGTTGGTATTATTGTGATCATAAGCTCCACCGACTACCAATGCATCACTCGATTTCTTTTTCACCTTCTTTCGTGGCGTTTTGCGCAGACCAAGTCTTCTTCAGATGATGAGTGATTTTATTTCTAGTTTGCAACATCAGAAAGTATGCAAATGATGACGTGGCCTACAAAATAATCATCCCTAACCTCACCTTCACATCCTTGTGGTCCCTCTCACACAATCAAGTGCTCTAATATCGTGCATTCGATTATATTTAATTACAACCCCCGCACCCCCCCGCTCTCTCTTAACCCTAAACCCGACTCATCTGATTCCTAGATACGTCTCCAAATGATAATATATTTTCTATAAAAAAAACACGTAAGTTGTTAAATGGTACAACACTTCCCTAGAACCAGAGAGATGCTATTAAGGATAAAGTGTGAGATTATACCATTACATTTCTCATATAATTCCATGGACTAGCACACTTCTCTATTATGAGTTTATGTGCCCACAATCCACTTGCTTTTTGTCAACGTTTCAATTGTAGCACGCACCTCATCGCAATCACAAGAGTCCCTCAAAACCCTTTTCACGATCCCACCACAAACTGTCCATCCCAAAAAGGGGATTCCAAACCGGATCAAAAGAAGAGAAGGGAAGGGAATTTTAACAGAAAGCAAAATTCTAGAGACACCAAAGCAGCCAAAAAGCAGCATTTTGATATGACTCTCCTGTATTTCCTACAAACAACTATGCATGTAAAGAAGTTGAGGTTTTCTTTTTCTCTTTATGTATGTGAAGGCATCACATGGTTTGATGGGATCCCATGTTTGTTTCAACTGCATTGGAAAGTGGGGGAGATTACCAGTTCATTTATCAACCTAACATGTGTACTCTAGAGGCAGCGCATCTAATCTTTGGAACCATGGGAAATGCTGAGCAGAAGCATTGTCACTCCAAGCATAAGGCTAAAGTAAAAGCATTCGTAAAAGTTGCATGGAATTTTATTTATTTATTTTTCTGAAAAGATAAAGTGCATTGCCGCTTGCGATAAAAGTTTTGTAGAACAGGAGCTGCACGGCAGTAAAGAAAATAAAAGTCCAGAAGAAAGCAAAAGCCAAAAATTCTTTTCGTACTTTGAAAAAATTAAATAGATTCATTGATATATTGCAGATAGTACATATCACAGTGAATAACTTCATGTAACCTGAGATCTATCATTCCATGGCAAACCCACAGTAACAGAGGAAGTGCCCATATGGGTTTCTGAGGAAGTTGGAAATTTACCCTTCTTAGGCCATAGCCAAATTTTGGAAACAGAAAAGCTTTCACCTTTACTTCCACTGTTAATTTTTTTCCCCTCTGCATCACCATCACAGTGGGAATTCCCATTTTGTCCAGCTCTCCCTTTCACAAGCCTCACACTATCACCACTTCCAGCAGCAGCAGCAGCAGCAGCTGCTCTTTTCGGCCTTAAAGCCACTTGCAACTCTAAATCAGCAACCACATATTGGTATGATCCCATTGAGTAACATCTCCTTGCATCCAAATTACTACTGCTGGTCTCTCCCTCTGCTCTCTCCACTGCTGCTCCTCCACCTCCACCTCCACCTCCATCTCCCTCATCATTTGTGCTTCTGAATTTACCAAGTCTCACAGAAAATACCTTTTTCTCACCACCATTCTCATTATCTGCAGACTTCTGGCCAGTAAGAACTCCACTTCCTTCATTGCCCAAAGAACCATCTTCTTCCCTTAGATCATCAAAATCAAAGACTGGGTTTTCAATGGCAATCCCTGGAGTGTACAGGGTCCCTCTACAAAGCGGGCAAGTTGAATTAGACAGTAACCATGTGTCAATGCAATCAATGTGAAAAGCATGACTACACATGGGGAGCAATCTCAACTGGTCCTTTTCAGAAAACTCACACAGACAAACCGGACAATCAAATGGTTCTCTCGCCTTTATCTCTTTATAAAGGAACACAGGAAGAGCGTCTATAAAAGCTTGATCTAAGCCAGAATCATGAAGATGGAAGAGTTGCTGTAATTGTCTCTGATAAACTTCAGACCCAGAGAGTTCTGGGTATCTGTTAGATTCAGATACTGACGAAGATCTATGCTTTGTGAGAAATCTAACAAGCAAGTGAAGGATACCAGATACGAAAAATATAACAGCTAGAATAATTATGATAAAAAGAACTGATGGGCTTATTTTACTACCAGAGGATGATGATGGGTTTGAGTGTCTTTGGTAGTCACTATTGTATGGCAGTGAAGGAGAAGAAGAAGAAGAAAGAGAAGAGGAACGCAAACGAGAGCCAGGATAGCTGGTCAGAAAATCATTTCTCTGCCTGGTTTGAGCTTGATTCCAAGACATTTTAGGATAGTGGCACACTAAATTCACCATCAAATTTTAGGACTTTCTTAGAAACCAAACACACTTTCACCTTTTTGTAAGCTCAAGAAAACAGCTTCCTTGCTTGCATTCAGATCAAATCCAACTCATAATTTGAAGTGAAGAAGCAACAGGCACATTATTTCTTCTCTCTCAACAAACCCAATTGAGATTTAGTCAACAATGTGCAAAAAAGAACAAGACTTTGACCCAGACTTGCAACTTAAACCATGGCTCTAGAAGGCTATTATTGGTAACAGAAACACCACCTCGGTGTTTTCACTTTTGACATGAAACCAAGGTACTGCTGGTATGCAAGAACAGAAACAAAGAACTCACTTTAGAGTTGTCCAGTTTGCAGTGTACCTACCTCAACTCTGGAAAATCTGCCATTAATGGAGCCCATTTGTCATGTGCTTGATGAGTCTTGTGTTGGTCTTGGACAGTGTTGCAGTGATGTATAAATAAAATAAAATAAAACCCTAAACAATATTTGGGCGGTACTCATTTGAGGGGTTTCAATTTCTTTATATTGGAACTGGATGCAGAAATTTTAGTAAAAGTGGGCTGGCAGCTTCAAAAGAGCAAGTAGAAGGGTAAAAAGGTCAATAACAGTGACAGCGGCCTTATACGTGTGCGCAGAGCCAGTTTGGTAGCTTGGGCGTGGACAATCTTAGATTTTGCCAATTTTCTCGTACACATGTTGGGATTTCTTTCCAATTTATGGTGCAAATTTGGGAACTTGGACTTTTGGTACTTCCTTTGTGGGTCGAAAAATAGTTGGTTCATTGGGCTTTTTGGGCATGTTTGGTAAGGCTCATTAGGTTGGACTGTGCTAAATAAGATATGAAGCCCATGTTTGATTAGATGAAGGAATAAGTTAAATGAGATTGTAGAGTCCAATAGTGAAAAAAGTTTGCTAGTATCTTGTATGAGAATGATTGAGGAGAAAAGTTTGCTAGCATCTTCTTGATGATTTTGGGTCAAGTTGGGACCTTTGGGGATTTGATTGAGGAGAAGGGTCGTTTTTCATTCATTGATCGTTTTGTTTAGTAGTACAATTCGTCTACCCATGTCATTATTATTGGGAGTTTGAGAGTGCAATACGATCCTTGAGAGTGCAATACGATCCTAAAGAGTGTATCCATGTTGTGAGCTTGGATCTGTATTAAATTGTAGTATTGTATGAACCTCATCTACCGTCATTGGAAAATTTGGAACCGAGCTGTGTTGTTGTAGTTACGTCTGGCAATTCGTGCACTGTTACCTATTCCAGGTAGTCCTCTGGTTTATTTTTATAATAAATTTGGCTTACACCCTTCAAATTCAATTTGCCGTACCTAAAACCCTTCACTTTTTGTTCCTATAAATAATACCCAATTTGTATAAGTAAAAACCCATGACTAGGATCCAACTCAGCAAGTTACCTAATTAAGCATAAAATCTGATTTATTGTACTTTTCATATTCCAAAAATACCTCAAACTAAGCCATTATTGCATTTTGTATGTAGGAATCAATATGGAAATAGTTTTTAATTGGATTGTATATAATGACAGATGTTGAATTTGGAAAGATCTCCAAATGGTTGTAATGGATGTAGGAATTAATTTTGAAACATTTTAAAAAGAATTTAACAATAAATTCAAATTTAGGTAATCGGTTTGTTTAATAAAATGTTTATGTTATTTTCTTTTTATGAATTATACATGACTAATAATCCACTTTATAATTGTTTATGAATAAAACTGTACATACTAATTATGTTGAAAAAATAATGTACCTATTACTTGTTTGTTTTATGAAAAACATAATTTACCTAGTATGAAAAGTGTACATAATTATCTATTCCAAATAATGTATTTATACACATTTACATGTATATTGTAAAATAATTTACCTGTGGGTAAATAATGTACCTATATTTTATATAAATTATTGTGTACTTATTTTTAATTATGAAAAATATACGCAATTACAAAGTAACTTTGTTTTTTTTTTTTTTTTTTTTTTTTTTTTTTTTTATAATATACCTATATTTTATATGTATATATTTATATTATATTTTTCATAGGTACATTATTGGATATATAATTTACATAATTTTTTTGTTGTTGTATTTTTAGGGGGCGAGATGTGAGAGGGAATGACAACTAAAAGAAATGGGGTGATTGATATGCTATTAATAGGGAGTATATTAATTACAATTATGGTAGTTAATGAAATGCTTGAAATAAATTATAAATAAAATATGAAGTTTGGTGGCAATGATGTAAAAACATAGAAATACTACAACCTCTTGTATCCTACTAGTCATTTAAATTTGAAATTGGGTTTTACACATAGATTTATAGAGTGATGGGTATATGTCTAGGAAATAGAAAATGTAGGGATCTATATTGGACAAGCCCTTATTTTTATTAGGAACAAAGCTATGCAATATTTTCTCTGCAAGTCAAACTAATAGCACCAATTGTCTCATTAACATGTGAGCACGAGCTTGCTAAGATTCTGAATAAGTGACATGTTTCTGTATGACCAATTCACACATTTCACTATCTATTTGTGGAAAACTCTATTCAAAGTGGGTAGGTAAAAGGTCACATTCTAAGGTACATGGCACCCACTCCTACCCCATAAATATAAGGTATGAAATCAGCCAAAGAGAGAATATAACCCCATCTAATCTAAGTGGTGTTCAATTCAATCACAATAAAGACTAGAGGTGTCAAACGGGCCGTGTCGGGTCGGCCCGTCCCATTTAAACTCGTGCTTTTAACGTTTTCGTATCGTGTTGAGTCGTCCCATTTAATTTATCGGACCGTGCCGTGCCAGCCCATTTAGTAAAATCATTGATCTTGGCCCGGCCCAAAGCCCATGTCCACATTGAAAAGAGTCGGGTCGGGCTCGTGCCGTGCCAGTGCTCGTGCCATACTCAGGTCCAAGAACCAATTCATTTAATTTGAATTTTTTTCACTTGATTTTTTTTTCCACAAGATAATTCAAATTATAAACATTAAAAATATAATTAGAGGCAAGAAATGATGAACTATTTGAAAACATTAATCAATCAAACATCCAAACAATATAAAAGGGCGGAGGGCAAAAAGTGTTCAACTCCACAAAGTCTACTTCAACATTTCATCTTTAAACAACTTATTATTTTATACGTGAAGAAATGTCTTGCTTTGATTATAAGAGAATCGTATATGTCATATGTACTGATTAGATATCAAGTCCAATGTTGTTTAATTAATTTTTAGTTGATATGTTTAATTAACTAAGGACCTAAGTAATTTCCCTAAAATGAAAGACATCATATATATGATTTAAAAAAAAAAAAAAAAAAAAAAAAAAAAAAAAAACCATATAAACAATGACATTAGATGTCAAATTATTACATTTTGACTTTTGAGAAAGAAAAAAAAGTTAAGTGGGCCGTGCTTGGAGCGGGCTTAGGCTCATGTCGTGTTTGAAGCAGGCTCGGGCCATGGGCTGACCCGGTCCGTTGGACCTCATTTTTTAATCTCGGCTCGGCCCAAGTTTTCGTGTCGTGCCGAGCACGGCCCATTAATATTCGTGCTCGTGCCGTGCCGTGCCTCATTTAAACGGATTGGGCTCGTGCCATGCTGGGCTGGCCCGTCTCGTTTAACACCTCTAATAAAGACTAATAAAGGATTCGGTCACTTATTGTTGTATTGAGTAAGTATTAGTAGAATTGTTATGTTTGAGAAATGATGTGTTTGCTATTTAAATTAGCAATTTGGTGTTCGTTCACATAAGAAAGAATACATGGTATAAGGGAAGAATTTCTAACTTTGGCATAGAGGAAGAGTTTCTAACTTTGGAATAGAGGAAGAGTTTCTAACTTTGGCATAGAGGAAGAATTTCTATCTAACTTTTTGCATATATGAAGAAATTCTAACATTGGTTTCTACATCTAAATTCTAAATTTTGCATATATGCATCTCTTGAAATTCTTGAAGCATGAGTTGGGGTAGGTGGTTGTTATTGATACATTAATCAAATTCTTTGTGTTTGTATAGACTCAATTATACATAAACTCAGTGGAATTTATAACTTTAACAACAACAAAAAGCCTTTGGTTTGGAGGAAAATAAATATACATGTCAATTTGGTAATTATAATAACAAAAAAACATAAATTTAATTATTTAAAAATTATTATTTTTAATTATTAAAATAATTATTTTTTAATCCGACACAGCACCAAACACAGGTCTTCACTATTTTTACAATCCAGCTTTTTAGTCCGACGTATCACCAAACATAGGTCAGTACTTAATTCACCTTAGGACAATCCGAGCTAATCCAAGATAGTCCCAGGATTTAGTTCAGTCCATGACAATTCGCCGTACCAAACGACCCTTTTATTTATTTTTATAATTAGAAGGGTATGGGTTTCAGTCCATTGGACTTTTGGTTGTCTGTTTTCAATTGGGTCCAATGGGGTTCAAAGCCCATTTACTGTCTCCCTTCAAAGATTATTATTATTATTTTAAATATAAGTCGAGACCGTTGATTTGCAAGCTGATGGCAAGTCAAGATCTTTTGCTAAAAAATTTACAAATCAAATCTGTGCTTATTGTAGAAGAAGATATCAAAATAAGTCAATAATAAAATCAGGGCCTATTGACAATAATTGTCCTCCCATCTCCAAAACGTAAGGGACATGAACAACAACCAGCCAGCTGTTGCAGACTCTTCAGTTTGTCCTGTTAAGATTTTCATGATATAAATAGGAGTGGTGGTAGACTGGTAGTCAAAGGTTCCCTTTGATAGTCCAACAGGGTCCATCCTCTTCAACTAACACTTAAATTGTTTCTGCATGCCATCGCATATTAATGAATTTCACCTTCATATGTAGCAGGAAATCTTGCCTTTTTACTATGTTCTGTACTTAACCCTAAAGAAAATTAAAAAAAACCCCATATAACAAATTCCATGCATATCACATTAAATTTGCACGATTAGAGTCCGTTCCATAACCATTTCAATTTTAATTTTTAATTTTTAATTTTTGTGTTAGAGTATAGAGGAAAAAGATGGAGAGAGAAAAGATGAGAGGAGAGGATGAGAAGGAGTAGTAACAAAAGTGAAACAAAAACAAAAAACTGAAATCTATTTAAAATTATTTTCACTTTTGTTACTCCTCCCCTCTCATCCTCACTCTCATTCTCACTCTCATTTCCCTCTATACTCTGGTACAAAAAATGAAAACTAAAAACTAAAATTGGAATGATTATCAAATGGACCCTTGAATCTCATATCTCAGACAATTATCATTAATGTTTCTTTTATTAATTTTTTTTAACAATAGCGACAAGCTACTCTGGATCTAATGTGTGGAGGGAGGTTCGAACGTTGAAGCAAGGCCTTGACCAACTGACTTAAGCCACATATGCTTCTCGAGAATTAATAATGCAGAAAAGCCTTGAGATGGTATTTGATTTGTAAGTGGAAGATGAAGTTGCTTGCTATACATATCTGAAAACGAATGAATGAAGTGTCTCAGTACATAATATATATGGCTGGAAATGAAGCCGGTAGGTAGGCCATGGGATACACGTTGCTTGGTCTGAATTAGTATGTTTTTGGCCAAACATATGTTGACTGGTACATACCACGATAAATTGAGAGATTCTCTCCTCCTTTCAGTTTACGTGACAAACAAAGGACTATAGTTGTCCTTCCCTTTGTGTCCATCTGCAGGTGGTCTCTCAGATCTGAATTAATTTTCATCGACTTTTTGTTTGCAGTTTATAGGGTGGAAAACAAGTTATCTCAATTCACGTACATTAGAATAATTTAGAATGTCGGTGATAGATGAATTTAATCTAAGTTTTGGAAAATTAATTAGTGAAGGGATTGTGGCGGATATTACAACCAACAATGAGATGCTAACTTCCCAACAGCTTTCTTGCATGAGATCCACCATAAATAAACTATAAATGTATGTTGAGTTCGTTTACTTTCCAAGTGACTTGTTGACTGGGGAACAAAAAATAGCCTCAAAATCTTTCTATCTTTTCATTTTGTTTTGTTCTGATTTGGGCCCTCCATATATTATATTTTCCAGTTTACCCCAAATCTGTAAAATAGAAACTTGTATTTTATACGGTCAAAACTTACACATAAATCTCAAAATATAGCACTAGATTTTAAGTTTGCCAAAACTATAATTTTCGGATTAATTGACCACCAAAGTAGCGGATTGGAGAATTGTATATACAAAGCAGTCGAAACTCTCAAAAAGCCCGAATTCATTGATTCATTGATTCAACTTTTAGTACATGTAATAATTTTGTGCCATATGATGCCTCCCATGCATATGATTTCGAATTAATCTTCCTGAATTTGTTGTTAGCTTATAGCTAGCCAAAGAGAAAGCAAGAGTAATATATTTATGAGAATTACTTATTCTAGCTCTCCTTCATGGATGGGGTTCCTAAATTCAGTTTTTTAGTTGAGATAAGTTTTTTCCCCTCTGCTGAAATGAGAGAGAGAGAGAGAGAGAGAGAGAGAGAGAGAGAGTGTCATATATCATGATGAATATTATAGAGAGAGAGAGATGCCCGGGAAAAACTAAGAGAAAGAAACATACAATATGTTATCATTATATAACATAATTAAGTAGGTAAGATCGAAATGCAGGCATCACAAGTAGTAGACTGTCGACTCCTCATCTCATAGCTTGTAAATCTTGGAAAGCGCTTGCAAAGCGTTAACTTGCAACCTCAACTGAAGTATATAGTCGGCGGTTTGAAGAAAAAGCCGGTCTGCCGTCAACCCTCTCCCTCCTGGAATCAACATTTGCAGCTTCTTCACCTTCACTTGCACCGTTGACCTGCGGCCGCCACGACCACCCACCTGCCTCTGCCTCTGCCTCTGCCTCCGCCTCCTCGTCATCTTCATCTTCATCCAAGAAGAAGAATGCCCTTTCAACCCATTATAATTACTCATAAAATTATTCATTGTGGGTAGTCTAAGCTGAGTTGTGTGGTGTTTGTGAATAATATTGTTGTAAATATTTGGTTACAAAAATGAGAGACGGTGGAGGATGGGAAGAGGAGGGCTATCTATATATAACGCTCTCTCTATGCTATAAATGCTGCTTCTAGGCTCTAGCACTAGCTATTAGCTTAAGCTTATGGGAATGTTTAGGGGGTTCAGTTCAATTCAATACGACGGGGCCATGTGAGCCGAGCCATTCATGTTTTGTTCGTATAATTCGGCTTTTTGGTACTTACGGGTCGGGTCACGCTACCCGCTTTTGAATTTTCTCTCACAAGCACAATTCTTTTGTTGTCGTTTTGCCTATGGGAAATGGCCTCTGGGCCCCACTTTTGCTTTACCCTTCAAAGACCCACGCACGTATCTGACAGCTCGCCACCCTCCTCCTTCATATAATTCTCCTCTCTCACACGCTTACAACCGTATCTGTCCCTCCTAATCCCCGAATCCCGACAGTTGCCCTTCCCACACGTGTTCGGATCTGATCATCCACGTCTCATTTTTTTGGGCAAACCCCATATCTGACGGCTGATAATCTACCACAGTATTTTGATATCACCCGAGCCCCACTGCAGGAATCTAAAGGTGTTGTCCAACTGGGTTCCAGGAGAGATCTTAGCTGCACCTGCACTCGCACTCGCACTCACACTCACACTCACACTCACACTCACACTCACGGTGTTTATATGTGATGCGATCAAATCTTAGTGGATGGGGTCCACTTCATACAACTTGGGAGGGAGGTAGGTTTAATTTAAGCGTTGGATTTAATTTGGTAATAAATTTGCTTTAAGGTGAGATAAATTAGTACAATAATGAAATATTATATAAAAATAAAATGTTGGCTGGCAAAGACGGTTTGAATTGAAATGTAACCAATTGGAATGGATAATTTCCCCCATAATTTTGTATCATGTGAGGTGGTTGGGCCCAATAGGGCATGTTTCCTCCTCTTTGTCTTGGCGATGGATATTCTTGTTATGTGCATCACTATAATTTCTATAATTCTGCACCTACATCACACACGTACATGTATAATATTAATATATGTTTCTTGTTGTTATCAATAAATTTAGGTGAGCCCCGAAGGATTGCATAAAACCAAATTTGGATGAAAAGATGAAGTGGCACACAAGCTGCTTTTGCTTTAGCATATGTATATATGAGCTAGCGGTCCCCTTATACATACATATGCCGACTCAGAAATTTCCAGGCCCATGTGAGGGTATGATGAGGACATAAATGACATCTCCACGTACTTCACATACGTTAATGCAAAATTAAGGCATATGGTATTTTGTGATCATATATATATGCACGTACGTTAAGATTTTTGATCAGATATATGTTACATGTGGCGTGGCTCGTCGGTTGAGTTAATGCACAGGAGTTGGGTTGAAGAAAATGATGGGATCGATCGATGGAAGAAATCATATGCATTGTCGCTGATAGAATAGAACCCAATAATTTAACACATGCATGCTTGCTGGCATCGATGTATATAGTTTATAGACATGGGTTGGGCTTACAGAGGTTGAAGGGCCATGACAACCTCAAGTGTACAGTTAGCTCCGCCCCTGGAAGACGACATATGCAGGTGTTGGTAGTTGCCGAAACGCCTACATATATCATGACCGTGCATGCATGCATGAATGGACTGAAAAGTTGTGCAAGAATAAAAGTTATTATGATTTATAGCTACATATATCACGACCAAAAGCTTTGACTGGCTTCTTGGAGGTCAATTTGGTGGCCGGCGGCCGCTCACGCTGCCACGCACCACCATGTATATGCATGTGGTCATATATCTATCACTCATTGCATTTTGATACAGATGGATGTTTCATGTCATCCTACTGATTTTGCAGAATTAATATTTGTCGCATGTATATGTGTGTGTGCTGCTAACATTGGGGTCACTAATTAATCAAGCGAGCGACAATTAAACGAGTATGAATATGAGGGTGTCTTGATTGACATTGTTAGATAGCAGAAGATCGCTGTGTTGCCGGATGTATAGTTTAATGAACTGTAGACACACCATGTTCCATTGAAACAAGGTTAAGAGAGAGAGAGAGAGACAGAGACAGAGATAGAGAGAGAGAGAGAGAGAGAGAGAGAGAGAGAGAGAGACGATCGAAGACATGTGATGGTGGTAAACTCAGGAAAAACAAAAAACACAAAGCCACATGCAGAGGCGCGATGAGGGTAGGGGACCTCAGACCCAGATAATTATATTACAGACCATATGAGTGTGGTAGGGTACATGTAATATTTTAGAAGCTATAGAAGTGTATGGAGACCTAGTTAGCTAGTGGCTTAGAGTGGTTGGTTGAGGGAGAAATACTTCTCTATCTTTGTTTTATTGTCTCGACTTTCTATCTTTATATCTCTGTCCTCCTCTAATAGGTGACGTGAGAAGAGAAATAAAGAGAGAGGAAGATAATAAAACGTTGATAGAAAAGTTTCTCGGGAGGGGCTTGAAAAGAGGTTGTTTGTCTAGCTAGAGCTAGCTAGCTAGCTATGTGGCTAGCTTAGCTTATGTAGCTTATAGCTTATAACTTAGAGGGTGATGAGCTGGTTTGATGGGGTAGCCAATGACATTGCCAAAACTGAAAAGTGTGTGATGAAGGATGATTGTATATGTAGGGTGAAATATATATAAAGTGGGTGGTGCCGTTGCAATTTGGTTTCTTCTTAGCTGGACTGGCGTTGTGGTGGGAACGGAACGCACATGCTTGCACATGTACCTCCTCCATTTTCACGTTCTTATTTATATAGTCCGTTTCTTCTTCTTCTTGTTGTTGTTATGAAGCCCTCCTCTAGAGACTCAGACCCACTTACGCCATGACAACAACCAGACTTTGGCTGGTTGGTTGGTTGGTTTGTGATTTGGTGGTGAAGTTCAGTGCAGCGCATGCATGAGCATATGATATGATCGTTTATTATTATTAGGGTAAACTACAGTAAATTCCCTAACTTATAGGGTCATGTATGAGTCCATACCCGATTTTGGGGACATTTATGGGTACATACTCAACGTCGCGGAAAACCTACAATTTGCCCCATCTGTTAGCGAGATCGTCAGAAAATCCGTTATCTACCTACGTGGCATTTATGGGACCCTTTTTTTAACTGACATTGACTCCACATAAGAATTAAAATTAATAAAATAAAACTATTAAATAATCTATTAAATAAAAAATTAAATAATCTATTAAATAAAAAATTAAAAAAAAACTCATCTTCTCCCATTTCCCCTGACCTCCGCCCCGCCCTCCCCACAGCTCCGCCCCACCTCCATTAGATATGACTCTTTCCAACCCAGATTAAGTCGCCATATATATATATATATATATATATATATCTCTCTCTCTCTTGGTTTCACCTCCATGGGCGTCTTGTATGGTCACTCAAGCTTGTGAACTTTGTTCTTTGATTCAAATTTATAGATCTGCAACTATGCGTGTTCTTTTATTTTTTTTCTTTTTCTGTTTGAGTATCAAGGATCTGGTTGCTCGGCCCCAAACCTCTTATTCGAACACGGCCTTGTGCCACCCATATCTAAGCAACAAGTCGAGTCGCGTCCATACATTGATGAGGTCGAGGTGGGTTTGAATCGGGATGGCTTTGCTGGGTAGGGGGTTTTGAGGAGTTTTTTTTTTTGGTTTTGTTTGCTCCAATGGCAGAATACTCGCTCCCTAAGGATTCTTATTTTCTTGGATTTGATAGCTCACACTACTACAAAAAAGGAAAAACACGACGGGAATTCACCGTCGTGTATTCAGTTTTCAAATGGTCGTGGAATCCACCGACATCTTTTCCATAACAAAACCACGACGGTAAATACCCGTCGTTGTTAAAACAAAAAACGTCATCAACAAATAAAAACCGACGTCTTTGTACTGCAAAAGACATAAAAAAAATAGTCGAGGATGAGAATAGACGACCAACTCTAACAAAAAAACGTCGTTAAAAAGGAAACATATGACATATATTAACAGAACATGGCCGCAAGATAAACATACAACGACGAGAACTAAAACTCAACGCCGTTAAATAAACCTTTAACGACATATAGAAATATGACGTCGTTAAATACATAAGAGACGACGTTATTGACACCTACTATGTCACAACATTTCCAACAACCGTCGTAAAATACCCATAAAATCCCTTCACAGATTTCCTGACAGACTCGCTAACGGAGGAGGCAATCTGTAGGTTTTCCGCAACGTTGAGTATATACCCATAAATGTCCCCAAAATCGGGTATAGACTCGTAAATGACCCTATGAGTTGGGGGGTTTACTGTAGTTTACCCTTATTATTAACCCCATCTCATATCTATCCTAATTCTGCAACTCTTTTGGGTTTTAGTCTGTTAATTACAATGCATTGGTCTATTTTTCCTGTTTTGTTCATGTTGGGCCTCATCATTACCTTTCTCACGTCACATATGTAGCGAGATTTTACCTTACCTTACCAAATATATATATATATATATATATATATAGGTGCATCGCCTCTATTCACCTCAATTATGATTAATGGATCATCCATATCAATGCCATGTTTCAAATCAATTGACGATTTATTATGAGGATCTCAATTGTTATCAAGATTGTTAATTTGTTCGATACATAGGGATTACTAAATGATGTATAATTTGATTGACAATTTTTTTTTGGTATGATGCATAGATGAATGGTTTTAACGGTATATTTGGGAAGTGCTTTTGGAAGGGCTAGATGCGCTTTCTGACCACCAAAAGTGTTTTTGACAATGTTTAACAAAATAATCTAAAATTACTTCTGGGTCATAGAAGCATTTTCTGTGCTTCTTCAGAAAGCACTTTCATTTTTTATTTTTTGTTATAAATGAAAGTTTCAACATTTTTATAATAAAAGTGTTTATGAGCAGAAGTATTTTATAAGGAAGCAGTCCCAAATGATCTTTTATGATATATGCATATATCGATGATTTGTTAATCCCAACTCAGGTGTAGAAGAAGGTGGGCCTAATTGCTGAGAATATTGTTTAGGCTGTATTGAGACAAAAGAACGAACGGCCGAAAAAGAGATAGAAAGAGGCCCAATTCGATGCTTAATTAGCATGGAAGATATGAGTCAACGGCCAATTTTATTCCTCTCACTGGACCGCGTAATGTATCCCCTAGGTTCTCTTTGAACACCCAATTCTCAAGGCCAATGCACGGCTCAATTCTCTAGGTTTTCCGACAATTCTCTAGTTGAATATAGGACTTTGCTTGGCCATTACGTACAATAAACAATGTAGAAGATTTTCCTTGTTGACCAAGAACGCTAAACTCATTGAAAGTGTTATTATTATTATTTTTATTTTTATGTGTTCTTTTTGTCTCTTTAGTCATTAGGAATCAGGGTTCGTCCTGAGATTTTAAGGGCTATCTGCAAAATTTAAATTGGAGCATTCACATAATCTAATATGAAAATACTAAAAAGGAAAAAAAATTCCATGAATTAATATCATAAATTAATTTTTAATAACTAAAATTCATCATCAATTAGTATGTAATAACAATCACAAATCAAATTCATAAATTTTTAATGTTTTCATTTGATAAAGTTAAATATTAGTATGTTTGGTTTATAAAAAAAAAGAATTAGGTCCCGCCGAAGCTGCCCTCCTCTTCATTTGAGAGAGGGGTTTTCCTCTTCTCCACTGTTGGGGGAACTCCCATCTAAGGGGTTACATATTCTTTTTATGGGAAAGCTTCTAGCTACCAAAAGTTTTTTCAAGCAAAAGAAGAGGACATTAATTTTGTTTTGTTTTAGTTTTGAGTGGAAGAAATTTATTTATTTTTTTTTAGGAGAAAGTGTATGTGTGTGATATATACCCAGTGACAAACCCATGAATCTTACCTTATGGAGTCAGTGTAAAAATTCCAATTTTTTTTAAAGATTAACATAACATAGGGGGGCGTGTGGGGGAGAGAGAGATTAGGGATTTATAGTTAGGGTTTTTTAGTACGGCGAACTAATATAGACTGGACTAAATTTAGGATTGTCTTAGATTGGCTTGGTCTGGCTTAAGTTAGATAACACTTGTACTGCGTTTGGTGTAAGTTTGATTGGACTAGGACTAAATTTTTATTTTTGAAAGGTAGATTTTTATTTTTATTTTTGGGTGAAAAATAAGATTTTTAAATACTTTTTATTTTTATTTTTATTTTATTTTAGAGGACCTTTCTTATTGAAAGGGGCAATAGCATATTAAACTCACACACACAACACGGATGCTAAGACTTGAACCCAAGACTTTGCCTGAGGAAGTAAATACTCCAAACCACTGTACTAGTGGGTTCTTTGCTTTTTTTGTTGGTTTGGGAATGTGAATTTTTTATTATTTTTCATATTAAACTTTTCTTCTTTCTGCGTCTCTTTCTTTTTCTTTCTCCTGCGCACAGCCCTGTCTCTTCCTTCCTAGCACAGTGGTGGTCGTCGTCTCATTCTCCTCTTATTCTCAGTCTTTTATCTGTGCTTATTTTTTTTAGCTCGAAAATTTTCTCTCCTTTTCTCCCTCTGGTCACGAAACCGTCGTCGTCTCCTGCAACCCCAAGTTATGAAGTCCTCGTCGTCTGCCATTGGTGCGTGCCAAAATCGTATGGCAGCAATTGTGGATTTTCTTATTATCTGAGTTTTGAATGGAAGTCGAATTGTATGGTGCTCGTCGAAACTGACTAGAATTGTGTGGCTATGATGGTGGATTGGGGTTGCTGCGTATGGCTGCGACGGTGGGGGTTTGGATCGGTTGCAAGTGCTTGGGTGATCGGTGGTTATGGATGGCACTTGGGTGGTTGCAGGCGCTTGGGTCGGGACTGTCTAGTCCGCCCTTTCCAAGCAGGTTTCACTAAGAACACCTAAGGAGGTGTTTTTGGTGGGGCCAGTATTAACAGTCCCTCTTAAAACTAGAACCAAGTGAAAACAAACATTGGATAAAAATTTGTCCAGTCCAATCCAATCCAAGCCTAGAAGGTGTAACAAACATGCCCTTACTGTTGAGGAGTTGCTGGCCTCGAGTGGAGGGGTTTTGGAATGGCTGGGAACTGTTTTAATTAGCATGGAGTATATGAGCCAACGGCCCAGTTTGGTCGTCTTACTAGACCACCAAATGCATCCGTTGTTGCTCCTTGAACACCCAATTCTCAAGTTTGCATACACGCTGAATTCTCTAGTTGGATATAGGACTTTGCTTGGCCATTACGTAAAATAAACAATGTAGTATATATTTTCTGATTTTCCTTGTTGACCAAGAAAGCTAAACTCATGGAAAGTGTTATTATTATTATTATTTTTATGTATTCTTCTTGTCTCTTTAGTCATTAGGAACCAAGGCCGGTCTTGAGATTTTGAGGGCTTTGTGCGAAATTTAAACTGGAGCATGCACATAATCTAATATGAAAATACTAATTTTTTTTTTTTAACCATGACTTAATGTCATAAATCAATTTTTAATAACTAAAATTCATCATCAATTAGCAAGTAATAACAATCACAAATCAAAATACGAATACAATGACAACGCCCCTACTCAAACCTAGGCCTTGTACAAAAGGATATGTGCTAGAAACCAGCTTCACCAAAATACGCTTTGGGGTCAATGTGCTGCACGCTAGAGTATATATAGCTTTTATAATATTAATATATATACTATAAAGTATTTTTTTTTTCTTTTTAGAAACCCTAAAAAATTGGGGACCTTATGCGGTGGCACTACTTGCACCATAAAAGGACTGCTCCTGTTAGAAACCACCTCTCATATTGTTCCGATGAAAAAAAAATCTGATATTTTTCATTCAACCACAAAAATAAAAGAAACCTATGAATTTTGATATCACTGTGCATCTTTGATAATGAGAAAAAAAGAAGATTAAAAAAAGAGGTTTTTTTATAAGACCTGAGTTATTTAGATTTAGACAGAGAAAGTGAAGAGATAGAAGACGAGACTTTCTTAATTTATTTGGTACAGTTTTGTTTTACTTTTATTAATTATTAAAACATGAATTTTTTTTGTTGGCATTCTAGTTTATTATCAAAATTGTACTACCATACATACACGTTTCACTGTTTTATTTTCTGAAACTATTTTACAATTAAACTACTAGACATATTCTCAAATATTTTAAATGCAAATTTGTTTTCTGAAACGTTTCTAGACGGTCCTTAGTTTTGACTTTGGGTGTCCAGAGAGGAGAGACACCTGAACTCCTCAAAATCAAATCATTCCTAATTTGCTTGACATCCACGCTGGCCCTGAGAATATAAGAAAGAAGGGCCAACCTGTGAGAGGAGGCCCAAACAATATCCATATGCAATTGAGTTCTAAAACCTGGACAGCTGCTTTCTCATTTCTTCTCCGCCGTAACTGCTACACCAGCTCTTCTTATTCACTCTCAGCTCCTCTTCTTCTTCGTCCTCTTCCTCCTCTTCTGCATAGAAGCAACCACGCCATGGTGCCCCACCCTAAAGACGACGCTTATCTCGCCACCGTAATTCCGAAGCGCATTAAGCTCTTCGAGGCCATCCAGGCCCAACAGCGCGCTCACCTCCAGTCCCTCCCCTCCGATCCCATCAAGTAAGCCCTAAACCCTAAACCCTAACTCAAAGTCTCTGTGTTTCTCTTTGTTTCTGTTTAATGCGCAAGTATATGTATATATGTCTTGCATTTTGATTCATTTTTGGGGTTTTTTTTAGGATAACATTGCCGGGCGGGCAGGAGAAGGAAGGAAAGAGGTGGATAACTTCGCCGTTTGACATTGCTAGGGAGATTTCGAAGAGTTTGGCTTCGAATGCTTTGATTTCTGAGGTCAATGGGGTTTTGTGGGACATGAACAGGCCTTTGGAGGGCGATTGTACGCTTAAGATCTTCAAATTTGAAGACGATGTAGGACGTGATACTTTCTGGCATTCTAGTGCTCACATTCTTGGACAGGTACAGAGAGTTATTCGAATTGTGGTTTAGAGGATGATATTGGAGACTGATAATGTTTTTGAATTTTGATTACGGTGCAGGCTCTTGAGGTTGAGTATGGATGCAAGCTCTGCATCGGTCCGTGCACTACTAGAGGAGAGGTTTGATTTTTCTATCTTTATCCTTGGCTATATTAACATGCTCGTTTACTTTGAGTTTTTGAGTAATTTGACTAGTTTATTATCATTATGTCTTTTCGTTTAATTGTACTACACTACAGCTCTTGCTTCATTGTTTGTTATCATATCATTTTTGTTCAATTGGTTTTCTTTCTGGATTATGCTAATTCTGTTTCTTCTAAGACTGTAAATATGTGGATGAAAAGTAATCGAGTCTTGGAGACTATTGCTTTCTGTTACTGTTCTTTGTTAGTTTCTAGTACCCGCATTTCAGTAAAAGTTCTTCTTTTTCGATTTCAGTATGCAATGCACCTTTCATGTTTCTGTACTTTTTTTTCCTCTTTGGTTGACCAATATGTTGGGTGGAATTCTATGTGCTTATGTGGTTGTTTTCATGTGTAATTTTATTACTTGGATATTGCAATCTTGTGATCTTAGTCTTGGTGATACATTTGTATAGATATCATTCCATGCTATCAGTTTCTGGATTACTCATTTGGTGGGTCCCTTATGAAATTCAATAACAGGGTTTCTATTATGATGCATTTTATGGTGATTTGGGCTTGAATGATGAACATTTCAAGGAAATTGTATCAGCAGCAGAGAAGGGCGTTAAGGTATTGTTTTTTTCTCTTTGTAGAAAAGTTAATTTATACTTCCTTGTATGGAGGAATTTCTTGCTCATTGACTGACTGTAAATTGATAAGGTGTTTCAACATTTTTCTCTTTCCTGTTGAGATTCCTTGACTGATTGCAGATTCATAAGATGTTTCAATATATTGCTCTTTCTTGTTGTAGTTCCTTGACTGGTTGTATCTTTATCCCCAGGACAAACAGCCTTTTGAGCGTATTGAAGTATCAAGGGAACAGGCACTTGAGATTTTTTCTGATAATCAATTCAAGGTAAGTGAAGCTGCTGATTTTGTGTCTTAAAGATAAATATGATTGTTATCTACTTTTCTTATATGCCTTCCATACTCAAAAAATCAATTTCAGATATGTTTTTGTTTTCACCAACTGTAATCAGGTTGAAATCATCAATGATCTTCCGGCAGACAAAACTATCACTGTGTATAGATGTGGCCCGTTGGTTGACTTGTGTCGTGGGCCCCATATACCAAATACATCCTTTGTCAAAGCTTTTGCATGTTTGAAGGTATGTGTTTGCACGAAATTTTAGTGATGCAGGTTGTATTTGCATCTTGTTTGCATGTGTTGTGTTGTGTGTATATTTAACCTATGAATATGTAATTTCAGGCGTCTTCAGCGTACTGGAGGGGAAATAAAGATCGTGAAAGTTTACAGAGAGTTTATGGAATATCATATCCGGATAAGAAAAGTTTGCAGGTGTGATATTTTATTTTGACCTTTTATATGGTTTTGGTTTTTCTTATCTGCTTTCTTACCTGTATCAGCCACTTCGGTTAAATTTCTGTCTTGTTAAAATTGGAAGTTCCTTATATGCATAGTTGCACCAGTTCCTCAAATTGTATACAGAAAAAGAAGTATGGATAATTAATCTCAATCCTAACTCAGAATATAATTTCAGCATAGGATTGGATATAGCTTAGAGAATGCAGTTAAATGAAAGGAAAAAGGTTTTAGATGTGTGAAGGCAAAAGGATGTCGCCTTCTAGTTAACCAAACATCCGTGCATAGTAGAATCTGAAATATTTTGTTGCTATCTTTTAAACTTGAGTCTGTTGGTTCTAGTCCCTCATATGGAAATTCAATTATCAAAGTCAAAATAGGTGGCAGGTTTGATGATATTTATTGAAATTGAGAAGTTGTTAGGTTGTGAATTGTGATATGTTTTTTTTTTATACAAGTGATATTCTACTTTAATCTAATCTAAACTACGGGTAGGGGGATTCGAACTTGGGTGCAGAGTGGGGAGCACATCCGCTCTAGCCAACTTGACTAAGCCCATTTTTGAGGTTGTGAGTGGTGATTGAAAAGGAGTGAAAGCTGCTGGACATTGGTCTTGAATTATTTCATTTTCTTACCAACATCTACTTTTTCTGCAGCTATATATCCAGAAGCTTGAAGAAGCAAAAAAATATGACCATAGACTGTTGGGTACAAAGCAGGAGCTCTTTTTCTGTCACCCACTTAGGTGTGTTTTGAGCTAATATTTCTTCATTGTATAAGTGATCAAGATTCCCCATGATTTTCATTTGATTATCTCTTCTTGTCAAGTTCAGTCCAGGAAGTTGGTTCTTCCTCCCTAATGGTGCTCGTATATATAAGAAACTAATGACATTTATACAAAATCAATACATAGAGAGAGGCTATCACGAGGTTGGCAGTTAATCTTCAGTTTTTATATCATCCTATTAATCTTAAATCATTTGCACCTAAATTACTTTTCTTTGGTAGGTTATATCACCAAACGTGTACAATATGCAACTTTGGGAAACATCTGGTCATGCTGCAAATTACAAAGAGAATATGTTTGTTTTCGAGGTGAGTTTTGACATTATGCCATTGTGATTATTTATATTGAAACACCTTTATGCTTAAACTTAAAAAGTAAACGAACTGTCAAAGCCAAATTAATAGCAGAAATAAAAATAAGATCAATACACAGATTTGAAAATGTACATTTTATTTATTTATTATTTGTATTTTTCTGTGTATGGATGGATACCAAATATTGGCTACATACATACTAATCTCTTAACAGCTAATCTGGTGCCAACAAAACTTGTCTGATTATTTTCTTGGGAACTTTGTATAGCTGTGGTCATGAAGGGGTCTCTTGCTTGGCTAATAAACAATATGGAAATAATAGTACGGAACTCAATGTAGATTATTGAGATTTTCATTGAGTAGTATTCATGTAAATGAACATGACTATCTTTAAACATGAGACTACTACAGGGTTGTTCAACAAGACGATGCTTAACTTACTGGATATTGCATTTTTGCCTTGCAGATTGAGAAACAGGAATTTGGATTGAAGCCAATGAATTGCCCCGGCCATTGTTTAATGTTTCAACATAGGGTTCGCTCTTATAGAGGTATGCTTTTTAATAAAAATTTCTTGACCTTTTATTCACTTGAATTGCTTAATAGGAAATTCACTGTATAAAGTAGTATTAACACACTTTCCTTGGCCTGACATTTTCGCACTGTACTTTGTCTAACATTTTTGGACCAATAATTTGTCTGACATATTATTTATTTTATTCTAAGCACTTGTGTTTACTTTGTCTGAACTTCTTTCATTTGTGTTTTTTCTTTCGAACCTTGATCACAAAGAACTTCCACTTAGACTGGCTGATTTTGGTGTTTTGCATCGGAATGAGGCCAGTGGTGCACTGACTGGATTAACACGTGTACGGAGATTCCAGCAGGTATACTTTCAATGCCTTTATTTTAGCTTAAACCTAGCTGTTAATTTTCTGACAAGTTTTCGTCCAAACTATGCTACAGGATGATGCTCATATCTTTTGCAGGGAGTCCCAAGTGAGTTGAACTTAATTAAATTGCAGATATTTTTGTTTTTCTTTTTTCTTGGCTTTGTTTTGTTTGTAAGACATATAGTGCTTCTATGTCAGGTAAAAGATGAAGTCAAGGGTGTCTTAGAATTCATCCAGTATACCTATGATATATTTGGCTTCACTTTTGATCTGAAGTTATCAACAGTAAGCTTCTTGATCCTTATGCTTAAAGCATGAACCTTTTGACTTTGTTGCCTAAGGATGTGGAATTCAAATTTGATGTGTTGTACAACATTTGTATTGGTGTTTGTGTTGTAGAGGCCAGAAAAATACCTTGGAGACGTGGCAACATGGGAGAAAGCTGAGGCTGCTCTGACAGAAGCACTAAATGAGTCCGGCAAGCCCTGGCAGGTACAACATTTTTACCTTATGCTTAGCTCAGTCCAAACCAGGTTCAAAACTTGATGAAGCTTAGTAGCCATGTTTTTAAAATGGTTTAGCTTATTGACCTGAATGGATAGTATTGGACCCGCTAGCCATTTTCTACACCACCCATTCACCATGGACATAAACTAGAATGGGAAATTTTTGTGATTGGTGGATTCTTGTTGTGGTCCATTATCTGTTATGTGTTTTGTTAAGCAGCACTTTAGGTGCCCCTGACTTTCTTGTTTGTGTCTGGATACTTACTCTGTTAGTTGTCTATACAGTTAAATGAAGGGGATGGTGCATTTTATGGACCAAAGATAGATATCAGTGTATCTGATGCATTGAACAGAAAATTTCAGTGTGCAACATTACAGGTATGTGATGATCACTTTGTTTCAGTTGCACCTCTTGCTATTTTGTTGTGTTTTGTTTCCATTTAACACGGTCATTTGAAAAATACTGTGGTTGCAGCTTGATTTTCAGCTTCCTGCTCGCTTTGAGCTGTATTACTCAGCAGAGGGTGAAGAAGGAAAGAGGGAGACACCGGTTATGATACACAGAGCTATTTTAGGTTCTGTTGAGCGTATGTTTGCTATACTGTTGGAGCACTACAAAGGAAAATGGCCCTTCTGGCTTAGTCCACGTCAGGCAATTGTTTGCCCTGTCTCAGACAAATCCCAACCTTATGCTCTGGAGGTAGATTGATATTATGCTTTCCTTGTTTTTTATTGAATGCTCACTTTAAGGTTCTAGGAACATTTGTTGTTCCCCTTCAGGAAGTTTGCACTGGATCAATATAAACAAAGTGCTTGAGTGAGGTGTACTAAGGGTTACAGTATTATTTAATCTGAAGTCATGGATAAAGCTATTGTTGCGATTTTGTAGGTTCGGAATCGGATCCATCAGGCTGGTTATTATGTTGATGTTGACACAAGTGATAGAACCATCCAGAAAAAGGTAAGAGTTCATAACTTTGTCCTTTGTTGATACTTTCCATTTTTAAGGTTTCATTTTATTTTATTTTCTGGTTTATTGGAGGTCCATTGAGCTTATGGGTTTCATAATGGGAGCTGGCTCTCTCATTATTGGGTTCTAGGCTCTTTTTTTTTTGGGTGGGGGTGGTTCAATGGCAATAAAATTTACTGTTTGATACACTTCATGAATTTGTTTTCCAGTGACGAACAGTCACAATTGTTTTCTTTAAGAATCTAGCACCGCTAGTGTCAATTTCTTTTACTTGAATTGAAGTCTTTAATTGTTCAACCGGGGCTTGTGTCCCAAAGGTTGGTTTCTGTATACTGAATTGTTTTGTCCCTGCAGGTACGAGAAGCCCAGATGGCACAGTACAACTACATTTTAGTTGTTGGTGAAGAGGAAGTCAAAACTGGACAGGTTCTATTCAATTCTAATTCTCTTATTTATTTGTGTTGTATTTCCCCCTAGTTGCAGTTGTCCAGCCAAAGAAATTATGTGATGCCGTTCAACTTTCTTATATATTTTATGCATCAAGTGGTCTGCTTTGGTTTTTTGCGAAATAGCCTTTTACATGGTACCGTGACAACAAGAATTGTGATAAGTTAACGTAAAAGAAGAAGAAAGGATTACGTTGAAACCATCCATCAAACAACAAGAGTCACCGCACTGTCTAAGAGCGATCCTCTCGTGTTAGTTATGATGAATTATGCTTTTCCACTGAGAAGTTAATCTTTGATCCGTATTGTTCCAGGTGAGCTTACGGGTTAGAGACAAGGGAGATGTTACCGTAATGAGCATGGAAAATCTACTTCAACATTTCAAGGCCGAAGTTGAAGCTTTCCATTAGGATTTTGCTCTTTGAAAAATGCTCAAAGCAATCTTAGACTTCTACCCAGATGGACAAAGCATATTTGTGATCCCAACTGGAAATTACCTGTTAATTCCTGCCACCACGTCATGTACTTTTGGTTTACTGTTTGTTTTGTTTTGGGATTCAATGTAGGTTAAGAACTCTGTTGTTAAATCATCAAGATAGAAGGATTTTTTCAGATTGACAAAAAATTGGCGTGTCTCTAGTGTTGTTTGCTTTAGCTTTTGTACGATGCACCGAACCTTGACATGGAAAGCTAGTGTCGTACTTGAATTAGGCGCTGAACTTTTCTGCAATTGACATGCAATTCATTTTATTTGAAAGAAAGAAAAGCTGTGTACGAGTATAACGTGTATGGTACTGATTTCAATTTCAATTTATGGAATGAGATTGAATTGGTGATTTCTAGGCACTTGCTGTCTGCACCGCACGTGTTCCTACACCACGCTTCTACACAAGTGACAAACGCACTAACTAAGCTGTGTCTAGAGCTTTTTGTTTTTCTGACTCAAAAAAAAGGCTCTAATTTAAAATTTCATTTTTACCATTAAGGGTCGTATTATACACATAACTCGATTGTTTTTTCCATGATGAAATGTATGAAGTGTAGGCCCAGGCATTTGATGTGCTTTCAAGTGGTATTGAATTCAAGCCCTCATAGTACCCGTATGCGTCGAGTTTCCCTTATCTAACTTTGACAAAATAATAATAGGGTTCCTATATATAAAAAAAAAGAGTGGCGCATAAGTTTTAGTACCTCTCCTCAACATTACGGGTTCGGTTAACTTCTTTTACAACCCAAATAATTTCCAAGAAACCATGGCCTCTAGATTCTATGTATCATCTCCTCAGGCGCTCTTTAAAAGATTACAATATGGAGTGTGACTTCAGGGATTTAATACTAATGAATGCATTTGTTGTTTTACCATTCTTTACTCAAATTAAAGAATAAAAAGATAAAAAGTTATATCAGCTATATTGTCCAAAAGAATTTTTTAAGTTTCTTTTTTCCCACAATTATCTATCTATCATAAATATATTTCCTCTTGCAGTTATCCTATTTTCAGCAAGCCTTTGACTCGTCATTTCCAACGAAGGAAACATGTGCATTCATAAGAGCAACAACACATTACAGTGTAATAAGAGAGAGAGAGAGAGAGAGAGAGAGAGAGAGAGAGATTGCTAGCAATGTTAGAAACCAATCCTCGATCCTTCTACAATATATAATTAAGCTAAGGACAAAATAAATAACACTATTAATTAATTGCTTAATCAATTATTAGTAATATTAGTTCTGATCTTAGCTAGTGGTGATGGAAATGGTGTTGTTGACGAGCATAAGCAGACATAGAAGTGCTAGTCTCACCCACGTTGTTTTGATGATCTGATGCCCTATTATTATTATTATTATTATACTCTTCATTATGATCATCAGTCTCCCCCTTGGCCACCAACTTCTGCTCCGTGATCGCCATGAAATCGAGCGGTCCATGGGATAACATAAACTGGGACCCTTGATGATCATGTTCTTGCGGCTGCTGCAGCTGATCATGATTTGCTGGTGCAGAGGGCACTACTGAAGGAAGCTTTGAGAGGAGGGCTTCAAGGCTGCTCATGGAGGGTGTTATGTTTTTCAATGGAACTGCTTGGTTGTTGAGATATTGGTGGTGGTGATCATACATGAATTCATGAGTTGGAGTGCCTGCTTGGAAATGCCATGCATGATGATGATCTGGGGTGGGACCATATGCATAGCCATGATGATGATGATGATCAACCTTGTAGGGGAAGGGTGGAGATGATGGGTGTGGCAGAAGCACCCCTGGGATGCTTTCAATGTAGCTGAACTTCTTTCTTAGCAGAACTACATAGCTCAAATCTTCAACCACCTGCAGGATTTATAAACATTATTGATCAATGGCATACAAACATGTTGAACTAGTTTCTAGAGAGAGAGAGAGAGAGATAGAGAGAGAGTATCTCTCACCTTGTGAGTAGATCCTAACTGAACAACACCTTCTCTAACTGCTATAAGGGCTATGGTCTGCAACATATTTGAATCAAATTAATAAATAAATTAAAACAAATCTATGTGAAATTTTGGACTTTTTGAGGTGGATTTTGATGCTATATATACCTTTATGCCAGACTGGAACTGGGCTTCCCATGTCCTAGGGTGCTGAAGGAAAGGAAAAAAAGAAGAAAAAACCTAAGAAAACAGACAGATCGATGTTTTGCAAAGAAAAACTAGGGTATAAATATAAAGTAGTGCCTGAAATTAGTATATGTAGCATGAAATCATGAAGTTAATTATATATATAAGCATTGATCAGGAGCAATCATACCGAGTCAGCTGAGTTGTGCCAGGCAGATAAGAAGTTGATTTCTTGATCATTTGGTTCTTTGTGTATCCACTTATGACTATGATCTGCAGCCACTTTCCCTATCAACCTGCCCAACCCCCAACACAACATTAATAAATAAATATTTCTCAACTAATTGCTTTGCTTCCTGTGTGTTCTTTCTTAGAGCTCAGTGAGTACTATATCCACACACACACAAACAAAAAATCAAAGTCAGCAATTTGGTAATCAATTTCTTGATATCGTCATCATTGCTATATAGCTTTTACCCTTCTCCGTAGTTGTAGATTTCATGGGACATCTTGAAGAAAAGCTCTGGTTGCAGGCCATTGTATTGTTGAAATTCACAGTTGCCATACATTGATGATGAAGGGCCTGCAGGACAATCAGAACTGGAGTTGACCTCATGAGCTGTTGAGGAGGCACCAAAGTTGCAGAAACCATCTTCCCAAACCAATATCCTGCCATGTGCATATATAGTATGATATAATAAGCCAGAACATCATTTGCAGAAATCCATTTTACTATGAAACTAGAACATCATTATTTACCAATTCCTTCTGTTCCCTCTTGACCTGTCATAAGCTCCATGACCTTCCCATCTGTTACAAAACCAAAATTGTTAATGAAAATTATAATATACACTAAGCTTTTTGTGAACCTGTACTTTATACTTTGAAGAAAAACAAGTAAAGAATCTTTTTATTTTTATAATTTTTAAAATTTGGGAAAGTTGTTGTTTTCTTTTTATTTCCTTACTTGGGTGGTGGGTAGTTTCTAGGCAGGATCCTCCAGAAGACGGCGTAAATCCACTGAGAGTTTTCATGAATGCACAAGCTTCTCAGGGTGTGTTGAAGCAGATGAGTCACAGCTAAGGGGTTCAGATGTTCTTCCATCTCTTGGGAGTATCTCTCAATGTTTTCTCTACCTTTTTTTGTTTTCAATTTCTCCTCTTCCAATCTTCACCTATCGTCCTTTATATAATACCTACCAACATGTTCATCTCTCATTTATACCCTCTCTCTCTCTCTCTCAGAGTGTGGAAGACTACTGGAAGTAAAATAAAATTTTCTTCAACTTTTTTTTTACCGAAGTGTTTCCTGAGGCCCCACCTTGTCTTTCTTTCAACCCTTCATTCAAAACTACTATTGAAATTTTATTTTATTTTCTTGGTTAAGTCCTACCTCATGATCCCAATTATGTTATTATATCAGAGAAACGACCAAACCTTAGTTTTCTCAGACTAAATGATGGCAAGTATTGAGTAGCTACCTCCCTTTCTTTCTCTCCAACCCCCAACGGTATTATTATCATTCTGACTTTCTGACGCACTTACCATTTGGTGTTCCCACTCTCATTTCAGTCCCATGAAAAACTTTCTTACCCTCGACCTTCAACACCGCACCGCCATCAAGCCTAGTTATTGAAGCATGTTATAAAATTAACCAAAGATTGTTTGATGACCAACGAAATATACATAAACAAATAAAGGGTTCTGCCAATTTCTGATTTTCCTGTGGTGTTGAGGAAGGCACTGTATTTGTGTACGTATTTTTCTGCTGGTGTACGATAGATAGATATCTTGTTCAGTAAAAAACAATGGGTGCTAGCTATCATTTAGGTTCGAGAAACATTAGCCCATAATACGTACAGAGTTGCAGTTCGTATAGTAGTACTTGATATTGATGCCCTACTCCTGCCACTTCATAATAATGGCACTTTCCCAATTACAAAGAGGGCCAGCCAGCCATTATTAAGCATTTGCAGATAATAAGGTGGAAAAAAGCTGCTTTCTTTCTGGTTGCTGCCATAGAGTTTAAAGAGTGCTTCTCTTAGTCTTTTAGCCCTCACTGAGATAAAGCCATGTTACATATATAAAATGCTGATCGACTATATTGCATTCATTAATTATAAGTTATAACCATGCATCGATTTCAATCTCTATATTTCTTTCTCTCTCTCCCTCTCTTCTGTGAACAACATGATGACCAAGAGGAGCTATCAGTGATTTCATTTCCTCACCCTCTCTCCCTGACACCAAGGAAAATATTGACAGAACATTATACTGTCCCTTTGACCGTCCTTTTCTTTTTTACAAGAAAGAAACCGTCGTCTCATTATAACACGGTGTAGTAAATGTATGCATCAGTGTAATTTACAGGATATATAGCCAAACATTTGTGCTAGCCTTGATAGTGACACACATTGCTATCTCCATAATTTTCCCTTTGGATTCTTGTTACCAAGGCCAACCCCATCCATGTCTCTAGAGAGAGAGAGAGAGAGAGAGAGAGAGAGAGAGAGAGAGAGAGAGAGAGTGGGGGTGTTATAATTCATAAATGGGTTCTGTTACATTGTAGTTTTTGGGATCTTATAATGCATGAATTCACGATCCCTTTGGCAGAGTAAAATATTAATATTGGGAGACAAAGTCTGATGGTGGTGATGTAAGCAAAAGGAGTGTGTTTTGGGGCAACAATTGAATGAGCTTTGGATTTTATTGGTGCTGGTGATGGTTCTGGTCTACACTTTATATTGTTGTTTTGTTGATTTTTGAAAAAGCACTTCCAAAAATTGATATTGGAGAAGTTGGTATGGAAGCAAAGAATGGCT